AATTCTGGATTAATCTACGGATTATCCATGATATTTATTCCCCATCTTTCTACTATAGTATTTATTTGCTTAAATACTAAGATGACTTCCATCAGCATCTAAATGTGCAGTACAATATTAATATTTTCTATTATCGATGAGTATCTCAAGTAATTCATGGTTAATCTAATTATCATTAATATCAGTTCATGAATACTGGACTATTTCTTAAAAGATCTAAAAATAAAGCATTACCAGTATCAAGCTAATATGAATATTATCGGTTTTATCCTTTATTATTTAAACGATTACCGCTATTATTAATCCCTGCTTTGGATGTTTCTAGATCTAGTCGAAGTGGCTGTCCTGACGAACCTATCAGTCTGAAACAGTTCTCCTTTCAACCAGCTAAGGTATAAGCTGATTAAATTAGATTTTTCTTGCATAGAAGGCCTTGTAAATATTTCGTTATGCATCACTATGGTATGTTCACTTATAAAGGCACGTGACAAGCAATATACCACATTGTCTAGTCTAATGTAATGACATGCATAAAAAGTAATTCAGTCTCATAGACTTCGTTATAGTATTGTTTAAGATGATAATTCCAGTATTTACTAAGCAGCTATAGATGACTAAGATGTAAATAGATAATACGATCTAATCAACTTTATTCGATAACTATAAGTTTAAATATTATTCACCCTCATAATCGGTGAGAAAAAAATTAATCTATACGTAGAGCTAATCTTGATTATATTTTATAACAATAAATTGAAAAATTCGAATCTATTCCACTCACTAACTAAAAATTTAAAAGTATTGTCTACTCTAATAGCAAATTAAAGATTGATTAGCCTAGGCTACTCCAGATTCTAATACACTATCTTGCTTTTCAATTTCTAGTTTTCCGTTAATCTACCAACACATGTCTTGGATTCTTTTAATTTATTAGGCCCAGATACTGCTTTTGATGCAGTAGCTCACTAAGTATTAATCACAATACTTTATAAATAAGCTTTTCTTCAGACTATCTATTAATAATTTTACAAGTTCAAATAGATTTTTATTCATGAATAACTACTCCTTAAGTAAAAAATCGAGATTCCGATAGATAGGATATATTTGATTTGCGTTTAAGGCGGATATTAAATTATTTTTATGATATGTAACTCTTTAAACATGATTCTACGGTCTAGAATGAATTTCTTGCTCAGAAATAATATCTAGTAAGAGCAGATAATTTAATAACAAAAGAGTATTGGTGGTTTAACTTCATTTTATATGCATCATAACGAGATAGATGATATTTCATATTTTAATGTGTTGAATAGCATTATCTAAGGTTAGAAACCATTTTTGCACTTGTGATATTTGTACACCATCTGCAAACAGATAATGTAAAATTGATAAATACTATTTTAGCTTTTAATTAGAGACGATTTAATATTATTATGAAGTAAAACTGGTTACTGATCTTCATAATTGACTTATATTTGATTAGTAGCTATGTCAATTATAATTGGATCTAAGTCATCTCACAGTATAAATTGATTGCACTATGTTGCATGAAATTATAAATTTTTGCACAAAAAAATTTATGAAAATGATAAAAATTCAATATCAGTCCGGTCTAATACCGCTTTGAAATTAAACGGTGACCAAGAGTAAATTCAAAATAAAAGATGTGTGTTACATCATATACAGTATAGGCACCTAGACAGGATTAAACCTTATTCTGAGTGAAAACTAAGGCATATTTCCGGTTTTACATGGAATTTAGCTATTTAAAATTATAGCAATATTTATCTTGGTTTATCATTAGTTGGCATAATGATAGGTAATATTATATTAAGATTTCATAGAGCTCAAATTTTTATAAATTTCTTATCATGCGTATAGATAACTATAATTTCAATTATTACATGCATTTATAACCTGATTGGTTAGGTTACGGACATGTAAAGTAGTCCGTTATTACAAAATATAAGATAAATAAATCTTATTATCAGATTTCTTACTGTCATATGTATCACTAAGTAATCATTTGAAAGATAAGTAAATCAGTTACGTTGTGATACACTAGTACACTTGACGCATTAAGGTCTGCAGTATATTCTCATTATATTGATATGCGTGTATAGTATATGATAATACAAATTAATTGTATGCGTATTACAATTATTAACAGGTTGGTAAGAAATGTGTTACCTTTGATATTTTTATGAAAGGACAGCAAAGCTAAATATGTTAAAAAATTTCAATCTCTTATGTAAAGAACGAAGTATTAATAAAATATTAGGGTAAATAAACTAGATAAATCTATTCAGCTTCATATAATATTTCTGCAACACCACAAATAATAAAGAACATATACAGCAATAAATTTAGTGCTGTATTACTTCTTAAGCTTTATATCAGGTCAAATACTGTATAAGAAGTACTATCTAAGATAGAATTATGTAGTCAATTACAATGTCCATAAAGAATTGATGCCTATCTATTTTACTCTAACCAAAGATAAACAATTAGGCTAGGGTACTATTTGTTCCATCTATGATGACAATACATGCCAATGATCGAAAGTATAGCCTATATGCATAACATATAAACTTACTACCTAAGCTATTCATTCTTGAATACGCGATTTACTAAATTGACTTATGTATCTTCAGACCAAAGGCATAAATAACTTCGTTTCTATTATCACGTGCTATCATAATCATTATAATTAAAATATTAATTGACGCAGTTATGACGTATTACTATAACTTTCGATCATACATAACTGTATCCTGCAGCGAATTCTTTACTGATCTACTATTGATAAACAAATGCATAGACTACAGAAGCCATAATCATTTGATTAACATGTAAATGTCCAGATAAACCATAACAACTGTTTTTTTCTCGTTTATATTGATTAAAGTTAGAACTTATACTAGTAAGGCTGTTGCTATGGATCTAAACCGCTACGAATTATTTAATGTCGCCTTTGATACTATATATTTTTTCAAAACATATTACCGTATATCTAACGATATGAATTCTTTATAGATGGGTTATTAATAAATACTTCATATTAACGACAATCATTAAATATACTCATAAACATCTGGTAGTTTTAGAATCAGCTTTCCTATATCGGGTACCAATCGAAAGCTATAATTCAACATTAATAAAACTTGTTACAACAGTTACGTCAATATTTGGCTATAGTTTTACTCTAGTATCATATTACTAACTTATTCAATCTCGAATTTTACTATAATTTTACGTTCAAAACTTGACATTTTAATTAACAATGAACTACAATTTTATCCTGGAACTTTATCTACTCTACTTGTCTAATTCTAATTTAACAGATGCTATAATTTTTTCATCTATAACTTTATAGCAATATAAAAAAGTGGAATACTTCTCTGTATATGTATGGTTACATAAAACTAATACTAAGAAATAGATGAAATTTAAAATTACAACGTATTTCTGATATCTAATTCTGTACTGCATATATGAGTATATCGATGCTTAGTATTTGTCATATACTTTCATACCTAAACGTTAAACATCCTATTCTATACTCTAATGATCGAGTAATAGTCTTTTACTGTTATAATAACTATAAAACTATGCTAATCGTAACACCTACAATGTTCTGCGCGATCCTATCTATTCTAATAGAAATCATCATAATTTCAAAACATTGTAAAATATCTTTAATTATAAATACGAGATACGTAATGCAGTAGCAATTTTAAATCATATTCCGGTAGTATAGATGTGATATACTGTATACCGATCACGAAATTCCAAATTTTAGAAAAATAAGGGCTTTATTGAATCTTTGACAAAGATTAACTACACACAGCTCTACTCTAACCGAATACTACTACTAAAGATTTCTAGAACGAACTAACAGAATAATCTAAAGTTGCATGCTTTTATACTTTTCGTAGTACTCGCAGCTACAATCTGCATGACAACCTTTTACCTTATTTTACACATAGTAAAATTTTTCTTAGTAACACTATTCTACTGCAGACCATCATTAATCCGATATGGATACGACTACAGTACTTACGTAGACATTATTCACACCAGCCAAAGTACAATGAATTAACCATATCCTAATATATGATTTACAGTTCTATTTTTACCTATAACCTTATTAGTAACTCAACACCTTACTGTATATAGTCATCTATACTCTAGCATAGAGTCTATACCACTACAGTCTATAGTTTTGGCTACCAAATATCTCTTAGGATAAATATCTACCGTACATTATACTAAACATGGCTAACAGTCTACATCACAATACTAAGTTACATTACAATAGTATATCGCAATTACCTTTGTATTTAAATTATAATAATTTTTAAATCACGATGTTTATATTTGGTGCACCCTTTATCCATGATCTGAATTATTTATAGCACTATATAGCCTATACGCATATCATGGGCCTATGTAGGATCCTTATCGACAATATGTTATTATGATACGGCTAAATAATACCAGATTGAGTAGTAGATTAATAATAATTATAGGCAACAAATTATTCGAATTTCTTCAGAATCGTATGATAGAATGGACATGAATAATAATGAATTCATGACGAAAGAATTTACCGGTTGTTTAGTTTGGTCGAATCAGCCTATGATTAAAAAAAATAGCTCATTGTCGTCGACTAGGTTACCATAGCAACTAAGATCAAGTGATAGTTACGATGTTATTCTGTCGATTGGCCAATATGACCTATTCACCTTTTGCTTTTCTCACACTTTCTTACTGCTTCTAATACCGTATCAACGCATGTATATGTATATATTGTAATTGAGTTAAAAATAGTCATCAGTCGAATACTGAAGCGATACTTGTATCCTGGCTTTCATCAAAGGTAACCAAGGCCGTATATTAACTCGATAACACCTTGAATTTATCTTTCAAGGACTAAATTGAAGTTCAAGTGAATCAAACATCAGCATCGCCAACTATTCATTTCATCGCGTAGAACCATGAAGGTAGAACCTGTTAATAGCGATGACAACCCTAAGAAAGTGGCTAATTCATTGGGTTGGACTATACCCAGTGTTATGAAGCTATTAAAGGTAGCAAATAAGCGATCATTACTACCATAACTATCAATTCGCCATGTTATAAAGTGTTTTAGGGTGGAGTTTGTTAATATTATAGTATTGTCCAATTTTATCTATCATGATATCGGTATGTCGAATAGAAAAGGAATTTTAAATTAAAATTATATCCACGTTATTTATTGAATCCGAATTTACGGGATCTAGTTCTTATTATTATCACGTAAGAATTAGCGATATTATCCGCTAAAATATCAAAACTATCATTCTTTTCGTCCAACCAACTGTTGCTTGGAGAAGTATCGTAACCATCAAAAGGCATTTGAACTGCGGGAGCTATACATTATCATTAGTTACATGGCAACCGGTTGCAAATTAAGTTAAAATCAGTTATAGTAGCACATTTTAAGCAGATCAATTTTTCTACTAGAATGCAAAGTTAAAGATGCCTTAAAATCCAAGGAAGCGCTTCGTACGTCACTTCATCATAAACTACGCTGAAATGTTTCCAGATTATGTTCACTATTTTAGCGCAGAAGCCTAGGGTAGAAATTAAAAATTTGTGTAATGAGTCAATATTCGCTACTTTTATGATAGTAATACACGTGTGAAATAAAATAAGAATTTAGTTTTACTCGAGCTCCTACTGGATCTATTAGAATAGAATAGACATCAAAGTAAGTTTGCTTGATGATGTCACTCTTATTTATTGATTTGTTTGCTTTAGCTAAACATTCTTTGGTTAATCCTATAACTAAGATGCCTTATAGATGTGTTTATCATGGCTTGGATCGATGACACTTTTAATTAAGATAGAAATGAGATAAATACTATGTATGATACTTGACACTGAATTCCTCCATCGATTTTATGGCACAGTCTGCTATAGATGATTATTTTTAATTTGAATAAACACTTAATATACAATCTGCCATCTATTAGCGCTAAATTGACAGAGATAAGTGAAGATTTATTCTCAAAATTGTAAAGGAAAAAGTAGTCAAAGTAATCGTTAATAATTAACGCAATTTCAGGTTATAACTACAACAAAAAAATGTATCACGACAGTATTATCTGAAGTGACTTAAAACGCTACTAGATAGGTATTTCAGTTAGGCAAGATTATCTTTGTGTTTAAATCATTTTAACTGATAAAAGCTAAAAAAATACTTATACAAGAGTTTGATGCACTTATTTCTATTCAAACCCTGATTGATCTAACCCCTGTTATGCTTTCAATTGAAATAATTACGATCGAAAATAATAATAAAAGCATGGGTCTTTATATAAGTTTTGAACAATTCATTTTACAATTCGTCCTTATTTACCTCTTATGATCTCTTCATAACGAGCGAAGGGCCGCTATGAAGAGAGAGTTTTTGTGAAATAACTTTTCAACGTAATAATGGAGTGAATTTCATCAAAAATGTCTTGATAATTGTCCATAGGAAGGAAATCTATATTTTAAAACCATTCAAGAGAAGACTGGCCATACCATCTTTAGAATTAATTTGGGAGTAGAAGCTTTCGCCTTGTGCGATAGCCAAAGTGCAACTGCAGTTTTCGATTATAGTAAGGTAAAATGAAATACTATATCAATACTACAACTTGTCATTGGCGATTTAGATAAGAATGATTTGATAACCTAGGTATCTATATATGCAGGGTACTCTTGGAAGATTATTATTTCCATCTATTTTAGCAAGATGATGATAGCAATAACATTGACTCTATTAAGATTTCATTTCGTCGATTTTACTAATTTCTTTTCATAACAGGTGACTAAAGATGATGGCTTTGGTCGATTAAAATTCAACAAAAATCTAACTGGTCAAATAAGACCATCTATATTTTGTAATGGAGAAGTACATGAACGCTATCGAAAGTTTCTAATGGATGTTTTTCGTGCTACATCGGTTGATTACTTAATTAAAGTGACCAATGAAGCAGTTGAAAAACATTTCAGCTTATGGGAAAAGAGTTATACGGGTAAGTTTCTGTTGCAGAGACTGATTTTCAGCGTACTCTTACTTGCGGACAAGTACGCGGATACTTGCAGACTTGTGACTTTAAATAGTACCTTGACTTGAGGACATCACATTTCGTTAAATCCTATTTGAAGTATAAATACTACTAGAATCATAAGGAATATTCTCTTCCTCTTTCGAAATTGGTCTTGTAATATTTATCGTATTTTTAATCTTGTCTAGGTGCGGGTATTGCCAAAGAATGGGAAATGGATATTTTAAGGTTATGCAGCGATATTGTACATCGGGCAATCCTTGGAGGAGAGATAAGTTCCGAAGCTTCTCATAATTGGCTTATGGGCATTCTGAAGAAGAAAAGGTACTTTTAATAAAGTAAAAATGCTTAACCGTATTAAAATAAGCTTATTGAGAAAATTGAGTTGTGCTTAATTCTTTAGCAGTACAAAAAATAAACGTTCATGATATAACTCGTAACTATAACGTAAATCGATCGAAATTAATGATTATACAATAGAGAAAAATGGGATATGAAAGAGTTGGAGGGATAGAATTTCAAATTCAGATGATTTTAATAATCTTTCAGCCTTGTACTATCCATGAAATTAAGCCTAATAAGGACAAAAATTGAATCTCTTCGATTACGCATAGTAGCGAAATCGGACGTGAAAGGGTTGAAGGGAAAGAATTACAAATTAAGATGATTTTAACGATCTTTCAGTCTTGTATCAATCATGAAATTAAGCCTAATAAGGACATAAATTTAAATCTCTTCAGTTAAGCATAGTCGTTCAATTTGCCTTAGAATTGTTGTGTATACTTGTATAATTATAGTCGTGTTTAGTTATTCATTTTATCTTTACTATGTCTATCCCAATCACTTGAATGTAATCATAATTAAGTAATTTTTAGGATTCCTATACGTCTTATACTTGAGGTTAAATTAGATATGATAATAGTGAGAGATCGAACATATGATACTAATATTTTACGATAGTTTTTCCAAGCGTTCTAGAATAGACTTTGATACTCGGAATATTTTACTACAGATTATAGTAAATTTCTATTTAATTAAGTCTATCCTAATCACTTAAGAGTCATTCTATTTAGAATTTTTTCTTGTCACTAGATCTTATTCATTAGATTAAATCTAATGCGATTATGGTGGTACAGTAACAATTCAATAGATACGTTATGTAGTATATCCAATTGTCTCGAAATTATTCTAAACTCGGTGTAGATCAAATAAATTACAGTAGCTATCACAGAATCTTCTTGATTAACGATTTATTCTACTTTTTATTACCTCTCTAGATCAGCTTTAGGGGTCAAAACTAAATTTTTCTCCAAGGCTATCGTTGGATATGCAATTCTCACCAATGGAATTAAAGAATCTCCCCACTATCAGAGCATGATCAAACTAGCTGACAAACGATCAGTTTCTGAAGAGGAAGCATTAAACAATATTCTCTTTTCCATTCTGTAAGTCATCATAGGAAAGTAGAATCAATATAGTTAGATTTAAAATAATCATAGTACATATTTTTTCTGGAAATGAGTTTCTGCATAATAGAAGTACAATACTGCGGTCAGTAATTCACGATCCTATTACAGCAGGCATAATCCATCCAATTCCTCACGATAAATAAATTCTTGATGTAGACGTCGTTACATAATTTATTTCTGTCTTAGGAAAGCTAAATTAGGGCTCTTTGATGTATTTTTTATACCTCTACTAATTCTATAACTTTCAATTTGCATCTTGGTAATGAATTAGCTTCAATTACTATGGAGGATGCAGTGCTGCCTTTCGGACATGTGCTGCAAGGATATCAATATTAGACGAAAATATCAAAAGCGAATTAATCGAAGATATTAAAAGTGCTATAGATAAATATGGAGGCCTAACTGGTCAAGCTTTGTGTCAAATGAGAAAGCTCCATTCATTTGTTTTGGAAGTGAGTAAAAGAAAAATTAAAATGATTACTTGATCTTCTCCTCTTAATTATCAACGAAAATATTTTGCTAAGACAAAGTACGCATAGACGGATACAATTTCATTAAAATACCATATTCAGCTCTCCGTTCACATCAAACAATAATATATTTATCTATGATATTAAGTTAAGATGAAAGTACAATTATCCCTCTACATGATCTTTTAATTGTTTGAAATGAGAATTGGAGTTAGAATTGAGTAAAACGGGAAAGAAAAATACGTCATGAATTAATATTGAAAAATTTAACTATTTAGTTTTAGATTATCCATTGTTGAGTTTGTGGCAAACAAAAATAAATCATAACTAAATACTATTCCAGAATTGGCATCCTTAACCCATATAGTTCATATACTATTGTAGTAAACTGGATACAGCAAATAGTAGCAAGATAATGATGGTTACAAAATTAAACTATTCTCTTCTTAAACTAACAGTATGATATTCTATCAAATTACAGAATCTTAGAATGTCTTCACCCGTGAATTTAATTTTTGGACGAGCAGTGTAAGTATTTCCCTTTTGAAGGGGATACCTAATTGACTATTTCATTTTTTAGCAAGTTTTAAATTGCTTTTTAATATTCGATTGCCTAAAGTAGTCAAAAAATTTAATCAGCTTCAGTAGTATAGAGGCACATACAGTCCAAACTATAACATACAGGAAAATATTAGTGGACATGTCTTGATCCACACCAAATACATAGTTATAATTATTATACTTATGATGAAAATATCGTTATTTAGCAAGTTACTGTACCGCACATTCTCTACTTTTAGTCTAATTCTTTTGCCTATCTTTTAGTGAAGATTTAATGATTAAATCTAATACCGGAACTTACAAGATTCCAAAAGGCAAATTAATGGTAGCTAATCTCTTTTGGGCACACCGAGATACTAGAGTATTCGATGATCCGCTTACCTTTCAAGCACTGCGATTTTTTAATAATCCGGTAAGATTTATATCTCACTTAATTATATAGACTACCTTTTTAGCTGTAGTTAAGGATTATAGGTACAGTATTCTTCCATATCAATCATGAAATTTGAAGATTTTGTCAATTTACTTTTAAACAGGATCTTAAAAATTATTTGTACTGGGAAGCTGGGCCTTTCTCTAAGGATCAGTGTGAAAAGACCCATCAATGTCCTGGTCGGGTAAGTAAATTTCTCATTGGACAGTATTAAATAAATTTTATATTTTCTTCCTCTAAATGAAATTACTTGTGATGTCCGAAAGTATTCTACTTTGCTTCAGATTTATGCTAGACTAATTTAACTCTTATTAGATTAATCATTTCGAGATTATCGTAACTTATTAAATTTCTATCTCTTCTTATTTGTGTAATGATATACCCTCACTTTAGCTACAATAATCGAATCATCTTCGATCACTAGCTTAGCTACTCGTCTAGATTCACGTACCGTTTATTGTAAATATCGATGAATAAACGTGAAATTAGTTTAATGTACGACAGTCAGCTCTACGACCTAGCCATTATCGAGTACGAATAACATCAAAAATATTTAACCAATTATTGCGATACTTTAATGATGTACGCTTCTATTAATTATAATTATCAGTATCATACAATTTTGAGCTGAAGATTTTTTCTTTCAATGACGAATAGAAATGACATAACTGTGATATATCTCGAGCTTTTCCTAATAATTTAAATCCAAACATTTTACGCCTACGCGTATAATGAAACATAATTAAATGAAGCAAATTATTTTAACTTTCCGTTTTATATCTTACACATATTCAAAATAATGTATCTTGATTCCCTAGAACATTGCTATCCCTTCCATCATGCTATTTTCCGCTTATCTGCTCCTTCAAGGAGACTATCAACTAGGTAGTGAGCCTCAATGGACAGGAAAAAAGTAAGCATAGTATCCGTAAAACGTTGTAAATATTTTGTATTTTATCTTTTAAACTAAAATTATAAATTCTATGCTAATACCACTAAAATAATTGATAGTATAATATCCACTTAAATATTAGAATCTCTGAGCTAATTCCGTTATTCACTTGCAAAACATGAATGAACATGATATAAGACTTTTACAAGATCAAATATTCATTTTTGTGTATTTAATGATAGAATTCGACGCTTAGGGACTCCTGATGAGATCATCACTCTAAAAAAATTTAAATACAAATCAGACGTAAGTGAACCATTTATTTTAACAACGCAATAAATCCATCCATTACACCTCCGTTATTTACTCCATTTTAGCCCTATATAGCTTTACTTTAACTCCTTCGTAACTGTACCATAGGCCTGTCTTACTTTCGTTATATATTCCAAAATTAACCTCTACTGACAATTGTTACATTGCAAATATAATTCTATCTATATTCTCATCATAGGTTACAGTTTCGCTACCGGAAGCTGTTCTAAATAGCAAATTAAAGTATGATGAAATGACAGCCGAAAATAATAATAGTCAATGTCCTGTGGATAGCGAAGCTTAATAAAAACAAAATGAAGGAAATCGAAACTTAGAATAAGACTGCAATTCCTTAATTTTAGTATGATTTAATTCTCGAAGTATTTTTAACGATAATATTTGGTATTTTCTTGTAAATTTTATCTGCTACGATTTACTTCCACTACCACGCTTTACTTTGATATCTCTACTAAATACAGCATCAATTTTTTTATCTTTCTTTATTTTGACGTAATCTAACGTTTTGTCTTCAATATTAAAATATTTCTGCTTTAATTGTAAAATATAACATCGATGTAGTTTACTTCTCATCCTTACCTAATTGCAATTAATATTAACAGCACAGCATACGGTGTATTTAGTCATGAAAGATAATATTTCAGCTGATCCATCCTTTTAATCTTACTTCTATTACGTAGAAACATTATTGTAAGAAATTTATTAGACGATGTAATTGGCCTACAGATCATAAATACATAAGCATCAAATTGTTTACTTTAAAGAATTTTATGCAAGTCACTTAAATACTTAAACTTAAATTCCTTGCTCCTATCTACATAATTATGATATAGTAAATCTTGATGATATTTGTAATCTTACAATTTCATGTTAACTTGGACGACTTAACTCACGATGTCCCCGCAATCATAGATGATAATTTCAGTATGAGAATCCAGCTGTGAACTAATCATTATAGATCATCAATCAACTTTTTTACTAATAAGCGCATTTTAATCCCAAGCGTTTAAATACTACTTGCGTATTTAGGTGTGAATACAAACTTACTTGCATGATAAACTGATATCTTGCATCATTAGCTATAGTTGTAGCTATTTCTGAACTAATTGTTGTCTATCTAGTAAGTTCGTTCTATTATATCTGTAACATATCGTAGTAAATAGTAACCCATAGCATTCTTATAGTTTATTACGGCAGACTATTACGAATATCAGTACTTAAGAAATAAAATCTTCTAGGTTGTATTAAATGTTCGTAATTTTAAAATGATGCTGTAGTAATTCTACTCATGAATTTTTAATCGTATGAAACTGTTTTAATGAGATATTCTACGTTAATGTAGTAATTCATAAATAAGCTAATCAATCTTAACTTCACCTAAGAATTATTACTGCTTGTAATGCTTGCTTTTTACTGATTAAAATGTTTTGAACGATACAGTAATTGATACTATTGCATCAAATCGTTGGCTAATAAATGCTGTTGGAGTTTTTGAAGTTAATTTCTATATACTGTACAGTATTATAAAATCGTAAGTCTGGAATACGAAACCCGATAGATACCATTTCCACATTAATTTACAGACGCATTTTTAAGGGATGATTTTTAGCTAACATCGTGTATATATAATGGCTGAAATCGAAATGCTACGCATATTATATACTATGTTAGTGATTTACGGGTATATACAATATTAAATTTACATAGCCTTCTTATAAGGTAGCCTGAAATTAATCATGAAATGTATGCAAGTGCTAACTTGTAACCACGATTATCGCAGAATAACATGCTGTCACAAAGTAAATTTTTTAGGCTTATTATTAAGCTAGAGTTATGATGGAGCTAAGATTAATTATAATGATAGTGATATAACAACTTGATATGATTCGATCATATTAATTACAAGAAGGAACTTTAGATATAAGCAATTTTGCAGCTTAAATATACATACCATCAAATTCTAACGCTAACTCACGAGTATAAAGTTAGGATAGGATTAGCTATATCGATAGCAATACAACTACTCACGATAACTTAACTATATTAATTATAAATAATAGCTATATCATAGATAGAAATTCCGAACCTTTACATAGCTTACATACTTTTGCGTTCAAATCTTAAACTTATCCAATAGTATCTTCGCGAAAAAATTATTTTCCAACTGTAAATCATTTCCATTATCATTGCCGAGAAGAATTGTATCTTCGTATTGTAGAAATCTTTGGTTAGTCAAGTACTATGGTCATCATATCAACAGGTTGTTGCTACTATAAAATCATAATATTATGATTTACGCTATTGATTAATCAGACTGTATATAATATTTGTATAAAATTTCGTTTACACTAATTTTCTATAAAGATAACAGTTTACAATTCATCATATTGGATCTATTCACCTTACAAACATCGTTGCAGTAATGATTAATATTATTATACTCATACTTTAAGTATCTGTATACAGTAATTTGAATTAGCCATAATATGGGTTAATTATTCCGACTATTTTTGAAAGATATTACCGATTCGATCAAACACCTACGAATAATTCTATCAGATTAGCTTTGCAAGTTAATATCTGTGCAACTCCATTTTAACTTATGAGCTCTCCTGACAATATATGAATATATTGAATATATTGTATAAAAAAACATTATTACATCTATTAGGCGGTATCCTTTAGGATAATGTGGTAGCGAGATCATGTAAAATTACTATACTGTCCATGTTCATATTGCAAGAAAGAATTCAATTGCGGAAACTAGACTGTATATTAGGATAAGAACAAACTTTTCCACCGGGGATAGAAACAATATATGCTAAATTGTATTCTCATAGCTATATAAGGATATCATCATTAACATAATAATGTGACTTTTCTACCATAATTGTTGTTGAATGGCTAAGCATAGTAAATCAGGAATGGGTCAAGACAAGAAGTAGTCTCCAAGGCATTAATTTGAATAATACCTTAACTACATGCTAGAGGAGTGCTGCTTTATACTCTAGACAATAACTTTAATTATTTACTGACCATGACCCAAGACTCTTCTAATCGTCTCTAATTTAGTTTGTCTGTAATTTCTTTTCACTAGACGTCAATATTATCTCCCACCCTAGTCATATGTGCCTAATAGAGCTGATTGCTGTCTTAAATGTAGGATTTAAGGGTTAAATTTCGATCGACATCAATACATTAAGTTATTCCTATCACTTTCTTACCTATAATCCAATCAATAATCGGAAAAATTACTCAGATAGATAACTTATCCCATTTTTTTATCGCCATTAAGATTAAGGTATGTTTTTATTCATCCTGATAGCCCATAATAAAGATATTGACTCATAGCATTAACCGATTTGTACGTAGAACTAAGACTATATTATTACAAATCTTCTTTAAAATGCTTTCTACTTTTCAGGATAGCTTGTCTAATTTCTTCATCGTAATTACAAGATATATTATTTATACGTCAAGTACTGCAATGATGCATGACTTAGGGGAATAATAAGTATACTGTACTAATAGAAATTTTCATCTAAGTTAAGCAAGTGTGTTACCCGCCCAATAAAGACATAGTTTTCTTTTTATTGTAATTTTTTACTTCGTTACTTGTTGCTAAGTTTTTGTAATTTTATTATTCCCTTAATCTAAGCTATAAAAAAGTATGGATGTTGTTAGAATTACATGTTAAGTAGCAATTATACTATATGATATAAGCAATTTAAAAGCAGTTTTCGCTTACCCTACCAAGCTTATAATTCTGGTTGTATCATAGGTAATCTTTTCGTAATTTGAAACCTAAACAGTTGTAGAAGCAATGTTTTATATACATGTATATTAAGCTTGGAAATTTAATTATATCAAAGCTTTACGTTGACCTATTAAATTCATTAATATGATAGTTCTATTATATTCCTCACCTGATTGCCTTCTTAAGAACAGTGATGATATAATACCCAGCTCTGATTACGCTGCAGCAACTTTTCGATGATTTTATAGATTTTGTTCACGATTGCAGACCTATTCATTACCAGTATTAACTTATAACGATAAATAACTCTATGCTTGACAAGACAACAGATTAACTATTCAACGTATAAGATTTTTAGCGCCATACTTGTTCCAGTCATCTTGTCGTGTAACAACAATTCGATAGTTAGCAAATATAGCTTATTTTCGAAATGATTTAATAAATAAAAATAATATCAATAGTTTATTAACCTTAGCATTTCTTTCTTTTGATCCTGTATGTAGAAAATTCTTCAAGTTTTTACATTTATGCAATAATAAAATACTATAATGATCAAAGATGGATAATGATAAAGAAATGGAAAGTACTAAACCTGAAGAAAAACGAGATACCATTCCTGGATTTTTTACCTCTCTTAACAATTGGTACTGTATGTCAAAGTTACAACATGTAAGTCTCAATTACTAAAATTAATTATACTGTTGTGTATATGGCAAGAGTCTGTATAGGGTTGAACGATGTTCAGTAATTCACTTCAATATCTTCATCGAATCATCAAGCTGCAATTAAATGCCTCATCTTCCTTACTGTACTTTTAATCCCATCCATCGATGACAGCGTGCTTTAAAATCTTGCTGTTTTTAAAAGCTTTGTCTCTCTTATTGTACTTTAATCCCGTCCATTGATGACAGCGTGCTTTAAAATCTACTTTCAGTTTTATAACACCATTCTGATAATTAATATCCAGTAGCCTTGTGTTGATTACAGGCTTTCCTGGCTGATATAGCGTTACATAATAAAATTTGTTAACCATATTCTTGTAACTACATTCTAAACTTATTCTGCTACCTTTCAATCAATTATTCATTCATCTCCAACATTGAATAGAAAGGACATTTATTCTTTCATGAAGAACAACAGCGGCATAAACGAAGTATTTTTCGCGTTAATCTTGGTTATGATGCAATAGCTATACTAACGAATGAAGAATCACAATTACTCTTTGATAGTAGTAAGGTATGGAAAATGATACTGAAATGAGATGACTAATTTATTGTAAAATTTTAAGATCATCCAAAAATATTGCGCTAAAGTATATTAGGTAATTCAACTTTACAGCAGTAAATTTTGGAACTTCCCAATACTTTACGAATAATTATAACCGCTATTTATACTGAAATTAAACACAAATAAGATGGAAATTGTAATACATCTAGACATACTTAAGTATTTTTTACTATTGAAAACTGTTAATACAGTTGTGATATTCTCTAACCAGGTGGCAAAAGAAGATTGCTACGGAATAGCGCTACAAAATGTTCAGTCACTAACAAATTATCCTATAGCATCTTTATGGAGTGATCAAGCTAAAAAGGATAGAAAATCCTTAATAAATGATGTTGTCCAGCTAATTCCTGTTAACTATTTTATTAAAGTGGTAAGTGATACCATTAAAGAACATTTTCAACGTTGGGAAGACAAGTACGAAGGTAAAAAGTCTGATACATCTTTTACAAAATTATTTCAAGACTAAAACAGATATTTACTTTTTCACAATGTCTCAGTTTATCTAGGCAATGGTCCACCCGGTAACTGGGAACGAGATATTCAAGAATTTTGTAGTAATGCAATCAGTTCTTTATTGTTAGGTACACGAGTTGAATTTCAGTCTGCTTCTGATTGCTTGGAAGCCATGCTGATGATATCAAGGTAATTATAATAGTAGGAGGAAAGCAAGTTATAGTAAAATATCACACAATTAACGCTATGTAACAAGATAACCTATCGCAGTATTTAATTTGAGCTGTGCAATATCTTGTTGATAAATAAGGATAGCACTATTGTAGCATATAAATCAAGCAGTTAATTAAGTCTAAATTGGCTATAGGTAGCATAATGTAAAATGGAAAGCTTTAAGCTTCAGTTAAGGTATCTATTAATCCATCAGATGATCGATTTTACTATCTATATTTAGGCTGTTCGTTAAAACTGGATCGTTTAATCGTGGTATTAAAGCTACCAAAGTATTATTACAACAAATTGAACAGTCGCCTAATTTCAAGAAACTCGCTAAAATTGGAGAATGCTATTCGTTAACTCAAGATTTTGTTAAAATTAACATTCTTTATATCATGATGCAAGTACTCTAAAATAAAATCTACTCCAGATCTAGATGACTTATAGATAGGGTTATAGTCTTGCAGCTAAAGAGTACAAGACGTAAACTTTCACCTAAAGTATGCAATTATTTCAATCCAATTTATATATAGTGCAAAACTATTCCGAACAAGCAATACATTGATGAGAAGTATAGCTGCTAGAATCATTACATTATCTCCGCAGGACAAGGAACATCTAATTCAAAGTACCTCCCAGGTCTTGACTAATCACTCAGGATTATCTGAAAGTGCAATGTTAGATATGACTGACTTAAAATCATTTGTGATGGAGGTAAGTTTGCATATTAAATCTAATTATAGGGTTATTTTATGCCATTTATTAATATATTATACACTTTTGCGACTCATTGATATCGATCATTGTTGCCTATCTCGTATTTCAGGTTATTCGTACATCACCTTCTGTTAGCCTGATTTATGGAAGGGCAGTGTGAGTTAGCGGTGATAATTTAACTTATATTAAATTTTACAATCTTATCGTCTAAATTATGTGTATAAAGCTGTATTTCTAGGATATTATATGTAGTAGCTTACTTTTATCCCTGGTTTACTACTCCAGGCCATAAACAACTGACATCAGCGAAATGTACATTTTACTTGTACAGTAGAATAACGGATTTAATCGTAGTAAATTAAAGTATTTGAAACATGGATAGGCCTTTAATACGAGTATGGTAGTTGCGCCTAGTCTTATAGCTGAGATAGGGTTATTTATCACGTCATCACTAAAACTTGGATATATCTTTCGTATAATTAACTTTTACTTAACATTAATTGTATTTTAGAATAACATAATATGATAATAATATAAATTAAACTATTTAAAAATTTACTGGGCTTCAAAATCAAATTAAATGCTATAGTTGATATAAAATTATTAATTATAGACATTAATTGCCAATAATGGTTTATATCATATAAATACTCCTAATAGAAATGATATGAATATCAGTGTCGATGGCTCTACTTATAATATTCGTAAAGGGCAGAGATTGCTTGCCAATCTATATTGGGCAAACAGAGATCCAAAATGGTTTGATAATCCAGATGAATTTCAACCATTTCGATTTAGTAACTATCCGGTAGGTTTATACACTCAAAATTATTTTATGAAGATTTTTTGCAACGATAATGCAAATATTACAAATTTATTAAAAGTAACTTCTAATTAGTTTTCGAAGAAATAATTCAAATGAGTAAAAATAATTGCACAAAATGGCTATTATCTACTTAACAATATTACCGAATTTATAGTCTTTAAAAAGATGTTTATTATGGGAATATGGATGCTTTGGCGATGAATTTGAAGGTTTAGAAGAGGTAATATTGTTATATTTTATTTTTAAAGTCAAGTTTTAGACTTTAAAGGTAGCAAATTAACTCAATCTTATAATTAATATTCCATGTTAAATTTATCTACTGCAGCCTATTTTTAATTGCCTTGAGCTCTTTAGCTTATATTTATTGCTGCAGAGCAGATTTGTTCTATACAAAACGCCAACTTGGGATGCAACAAAGTAGGTCATTCCTATTGTAGTAAGCTATAAAAGTATTTTTAAGTGATTTTCAATAAATAAACAAAACGTACGCAATAAAAGCTAAAACAGCATTTTACTTTAAAATAATGATAACATAGTTGAATAATAGCGTTAAAGATTTTTCCTTTTTACATCAGTGTTTAGTCATGTATTAATTAAAGTTTATACGATCACATGTAATAATTTACTGAAATACTCCTCTAATCTTTCCATTTGATAATTTTATAGAATTCGACGTCATGGTTGCCCGGATGAAGAAATATACATTAAAACATTTCAATTTATAGCCGTTGTAAATATCTAAATTCAAAATTTTATGATGCATGCGTGTACTTGTATTAATAGTGTTTAAAATATCTTATGAAATTTCTTTATGGATTTAGAATAAGATCATCCCCGTTCGTGACGTAGCGGATGCTCGGTCATTGCTTTTTTCTGCTGGAAATCAATATTACGTTATTAAAACAACAACTACAATCACTCGCTTCCGAGATGGCAAACCAGTCGTGGAAGTTAATGAAGAATACAAATCTGGACAAGGTAAAGACGGGATGTCAGAATTAAAATCTGTTTTAAAAGCCAATGATATTAATGAATCAGTAATACATACCGTCAATCATAGCACTACTTCCAATCTTGGTAGTGCCCATAAAAATGTAATTATTCGGAAAAGATCACGTAAACAAAAGCAAAAGTCGACTGAAAAAAACGATTAGTTTACATTGCTATCCTATTTTTTAATTTGATATATAATCACAAGTGCAACAGTATACTTCGATGTATAATTAAGCTAGCTTATTCTCTATAACTTTATTAAAAGAATATTGAATTCATGTCATCATCATTATATTGAGTTCATAAGCTGTCATTCGCGCATTTTATTTATTGCATAGGGTAACTTGCAGGTATCATTAGATTAATTTTATTTTTAATAAAATGACAGTTGCTTAATGTATTTTATTACAAGTTAAAACTTTTTCCAGATAAAGAGTTTCCAATAAATTGGTATACTTATTAAGTTATTGGTTCGGATAACAGCATAAGGTTAATAATTTGCTTCCAATGGCTAAAATGATCGTAGAATTTATATTTAATCAATTTCTGTGTTAAAGATTTATAGTTTTAAGAAATATAAATTGTCGCTTTCTAATAAATTGAATATTTAACATAACATGACTATTTTCGATATTTTTATACTTAATTTGCTGTCCATGTAGTGTATATATAAGTGCAAAAACATACATATCCAACAACGTACATTTGTTACACGTAACCAATTACTTATGTATTATATACTTCTAAGGTTAAATCGGGAAATTTTGAAATTATCTTTAATTTTTAGATCATCATATGATGCACTATATTGAACATCTTCTTACATTCCTTACATACCAAACCTTTCAGACAGTACTTACTTCAAAATGTGTATGTTATTTTGCCCTTACATTTTATATGCTATGCATGGGAATTCGTATACGTACTTTTACGAGTCGCATGCTAAGAAATTTAGCTTGATCAGATGGTGATGTAATACTTTTAGTTTACTATTTCTACAATAGTCATCTTGTAGGAATATGTCCCATCAAAGGTATAGTTTCTTGCATAAACCTTGTTTACTAGCTATCTAAATCTCTAATAGTAATGATTAATAGATACCCAAACTTTTATGGGAAATATAAACAGTATATTGTTGGTTTCAGCGATTATAACCTGTTTAAGCTGCCTATCCAAACCGTCCTAAGAATTTATTTTACAATAAAATATCACACTAATTTATCGAAATTCTCCTTTGAAGAACATTACCAAGCTCATGAACGGCTGCTAAAGGTTTGATAAACAAAGTCAGACAAATTGTATCACTTATAGCAAACCTAATCTGTACCTGATTTCCCATAAAGCAGGTTATGATGATGACATCGATTTCGTTTTTCTTCGGTGCAAATTAGAAGAAAATAAATTCAAACGATCTTATTTGTACATAAGTTTTCGATTTCTTGGGACTCTTTCAATACAGATACTTTAACTGTAAACAAGTACAAAATTTATTTTTCAGTTCTATTTTGACATTTGCTTTGTATAGTACGGCCTCGAGAAATTGTGCTCATAAGCCAACTTTATCAATTGAGTGTACGCGTATGTAAAAAGTAACCGGTTAATTCTGGTGCTTTCCTAAGAGTACAGTATTATCTTATATGATAATAACGGATGACCTGTCTTCATAATAATTCCTTTCGTATGGTTGATTTAGTAAACAAGAATCAATAGGATATTTCGTATCCCACCGGGTATTTCTTACAGCACATTGTCACCATTGATGTATTAAAGAATAAAGTAGAAACAGTTGTGATTGGTACAAAATAGCAATCATGATTTGATGTAGCTTTTTTTGAAGAAGGTAAGAAAAATTACAATGTAAGAGTAGCATAAAAATTACTAATGAAAGAACTTTCGCGATGATAAACTTATTAAATCATCAAATCATTGTAAAAGCTCTTTCATAAGCAATTTTTATGTTATCCTGTCTCTTGGCCAACTTTCTGCACTTAAAACTACCATCCCTAAGAACAAAACTCATTCAATGTAGCAATTAAATTTCAATTTTCTTTTATCTGTATAAGATCTCTCTATAAAGTTTATTAGGTATATTAATATTGTCACCAGCTGTAATATCAGGGCGTTAATTATGAATTAGTTTATATCTTAAAAGAACTATAATCTCTAAATTACCGTTCTTCATAAAAAATCTTCCATCTTAAGGATTATCTAGAAAGAAGTGAAAAAGGCGAGCAGTAACAGACTCTATTTCTATTTTTCATGTCTTAATACAATGATCTTCATAGATAAGTACATTAAACGTATTATTCACATATCGTTAAAATTTTTAATAATAATAATGGTGTAGTATTGAAAATAAGTAAATTTATATATTTTAGAATAGATTGTAGTTAATTGATTCATCCCGCGTAAAGACTTCCGGAAGTATTTATCATCTTTACATCTAAGGAGCGAAATTTTCCATTTGTTCATAATTCTACATGATCATAGATTACTTATATTTATTAAATAAATTCTAACAGTATGATTTTGATACTCAGCAAATTCATATTTTGAAACGGGCTCTGTTTCACCTATCTGTAACAAAATCCTTCATACTTAGTAGCTATTACCCCTAAAGATCGAAAATGACTAACATTATTGCGTGAAGATAATGGTACAATGATAGCTATTTTAACAGAGAAAGAACTTGTTTAAATACGAAGGTTAAGTTTAAGGTTAAAAGTAGACAACAGCATTTGACAGTGATAGAATGGTTTCATAAAATGATGGTTCCCAAAAGCAAAGGTGATTTCAAGCGGGCACTAGTAGCTTAACTAATTTTACATGTACACAATTGTATGCAGATATAGATATTTATATAACAAGAGAAGAGAGACAAGGAAACAATAGAAATAACATTATGAATGGCGCAGTTCTTAGGTCACGACTTCCAGCTGAATTGCATTATAATTATAGTAACCACCTGTAGATTTTCAAGCATAGCAAGCGTATTTTTTATACCAGTTTATATTAGGACCCCCTAAATATGACGTGTAAATTGTATTCGAGGGTGTTATTACGCAAACTATTACGTTTATTTAATACGAAGATCACCGTATTTTACTATTCGTCGAATATCGAAATAGTTTACTTTGTGTAAATCCACATATACTTCTCCATATTTCGAGAAAATCAGCAAAATTTATAAACTAGGTACTATTAATAGCTTTAAATATAAGTATTAATATTCTATATATTTAATCTAACATTAATTGCTTAATATTTTAAAATTGAATTAACTAAAATAGTTAATCTTCAATTATACGAGTATTTTGCTTTCTGTGTTACGTTTTTAACTGTTTGATGATAAAATAGCAAATGATGTTTATGGATACGGGCGTACGCAATTAGTTAAATCGGATTAAAATACGTTATTACATTAAATGACTTATTCATGTTGTTTTAGAATAATCTTTTCAACTTAATATTACTTCCATTTTATTCTGACGTTAATGAGAAATATTTGAAGCTTAGTAATATAAGCAAACAAATAATTATATAATCATCAATGATTTTTCAGTAATGTTTTTCTTTTCTTTTTTGTTTACTTCTTACCTTTTAATAACAATACGACAACAGTATAGCGTAAATACATCGCTAAGAACACAGAAAAAGTAATTGAAGTAAAATTTTTAAGTATAATATTAAATAAAGGTTACCCACTTTTACAGTAAAATTAACCGGAAATTCAATATTGCAGTAAAACAGAATCTTTTGACTTTAGTCACTAATCCAGTCAAATATCAATTAAAGATATTTTATATTGTCGTCTTACTAGTTTTGACTATGATATTAAATAAAGGAATTTGTTATCAGCTGATAATTGGATAGCTAAAAGTGAAAAAAATCAATGATATGGAAGTTCTTTCGCGAAAGTTGCACCGGAGAAGGAGGTCTAGCCGAGAAGATACTATTCAATCGATTCCTGGATCACATGGACATAAATTTATCAGTTCCTTTAAATTACAACAGGTAAACGGAACTAAATCGGCCTAAATATTTCATATGTGCATATATACTATTTTATGGGAAAACTACTAACAGGAAGTATTACAATCCGTCATAAACGGTAGTATTACGAAAATAGGTCAATTATGAAGTATTTTTTAAATTTATGTGCCTATTTATAATGTTAAATTGTTTTATTACGATATACTTGTACAGTAACACTGTTGCATTGTAATAATCCAAGGAGATTTTAGTAATATTACGGTTAATTATAATTTTTTGTTAGTGTAACGATTGACTGATTGACTTTTAAGTGAATGACGCAAAGTGTTAAGATAGGCGATTATGATTGAAGTTAATTTGGAAATTATATATAATTAATTCGGGTGTTAAATTTTCGCCACAGTTGATTGATACAATCTCCAGTGATATTATGTTTTACTAATTGCTACATTTACTGTACCTGTTTTATTTAATAAATGGTAATAAATTAGTCACATCCAATCCCGCTTAGGCACTTTGTAATTTTACTGTTTTCTTAGCGAAATTCTAGCCTTAGCAAATATAGTTTGTATATCGGTGCATTGTATAACGATAAAGTTAATATTTATTATTTTACGCGTGTAGTATTGTATAAGTTAGAAATACGTTTCTTCGTTAATCTTATCTCAGTTAAGGTGCTAGCAAGTGCTGTCTATAAATTTAGAAACATTTAGAAACCTAACTTTGTGCTTATTTTACAGCAAGGAAATTTATATTTCAAGACGTTACAACAAAAATATCAACAAAATGTTTTTCGAATCAATATTGGCGTTCGAGCTATTGCTTTAGTCGATAATCGTGTTATACGTATATTATTTCAAAATGATAAGGTTTGTATTATTTTTTATTTCAAATGTGATCAAGAGTGACAGCTAACAGTAATTTTGCACTCCGTATTTACAATAGCAAGAATTTTAATCTAAATCATTAACTACTATGGTATAAGAGATGCATGTTATCGATCATAGTGATCAAATAAGTCAGCTTTTACGTAGATTGCTAATCCGTATGGAAATAAAATATTTAATTCAATCCTGTAATTGTTAGGTAACGAAAGAGGACGGCGTGGGAAACTATATCACCAATTATAATCTTATGGATAGTTTGCGTCCTTCCATATTTTCAGACCAAAAAGATCGTATGAGTAGAAATTCATTTATTTTGCAAACTTTGGCTGCCATGCAAGATAAATATATCATTCAGCAAACCTATAATAGCATTGAAGATCATTTCCAACGATGGAACAAAACTTATCAGCGTTAGTCTATTTTCCTATGAATATGATAGCTGTTTACTTACGTGAACTCATAAGTAAAGCTCAAAATTTAAAATACACATATACAGGAAATTTTTATTCTAGGGCTTGTCTCATTAGAAATCTAATCTAACTATGTTTGCTATCTCATATTGGATTTATTACAGCAACTGCTTCAAAATCGATACAACCATCATGGGATGATGGAATCCAACATTTATGTTGTGATATAATTTGTCGATTATTTATCGATAAGACCGTTAATTTTGAGTCAATCTTTCAATGGTATGTGCAAGCGTTGCAGAAGATAAAGTAAGAAATAGCATATTCACATAATCTCGTACTTACTTATAAATTCGCATCTTATCAGGGTATAGAGGAGGATAATTTAGAAAGCTTTTCATAATTAGTTTAATCTTATTAGCACAATACATCATGATTTTTTCCATTAATATGATAGAGTGCCTGGATTGTTAAAGCAAAGACAATGTGCCGATATTTATAATACCTATATCGAGCTTTTCAAGGAAATTGAGAATTCTACTTATTTGCCGTATTATTTAAATACTGGTCGTCAATGTTCCTTGTCCGATGAATATGCCAAAGAAAATGTTCTGTTTGGTATCATGTGAGTACTTAATTAGGAGAGATAGAACTGAGATATTCTTAATTTATCTATTTTAGAACTGCTGTTAAAAATTATTGAGATATCAGTAGGAAAAAATCGGTTGTAGTTTAGTTAAGATCATTTTGTTTCTTGTTACACTTACGTAACGTCCTATGCTCAACAGGAGCGTAATTTAAAAGTTGTAATAAATGATGATGTATATCCATCAATACAGTTTTATACTATAATCGTAAAAGCGTAAGTTTAAATATAGCGGTCCTCATTACATATCTAAATATTGCATATTATAAATAGCTGATATCAATATAATTCATCAAGTTTTTCAGAACTTCGCTAGAGACGATATTTTTTAATTCTTAGAATCACTTTAAATTAACAAGAATAAATGTAATTCTAGTTGCTATTGTAGTCAAAGGTTTCCTATTATTACATTAAACTATCAGCTTTTTCGATAGCCGTACAATATTAGAGATCTGTACTAGTCCTAGAATCAATATAGATTAAAATAATATTGAATAAAATTATGATTGTCGAAGTAATAGCAATATTCCTTATCATATCACTATATATTAGCTTTAACGCATTTGGTAGCTGTGAAGCAATTATGAGAACTTGCGCAGCACGAATTGGTATATTAAGCCATGAAGATCGAAATCAATTACGTCAAGAAATACAAAGTACATTAGGTGAAGGCAATGATCTTTCTCTAGCAGCACTAACCAAAATGAAACGATTGAGATCGTTTGTTGCCGAGGTTCGAAAAATGGCAGTATTTCTCAATTAATTTTTAAAGATCTTTATTTTAACTTTATACCGTCTATTACTTTGACGCTAGGTTCTTCGTACTTCTTCTCCTATTTCATTAATATTCCGTCGAGCAAAGTAAGCCTGAAGCTTATATTAATCATAAAGTAGATCGAAATAATATCTTACTAATATCAATCCTTGGACTTACTGTAATCCTACAGTGTAGTGTACTGCTATAGTACGATAGATCGATAACTTACGATCTTTATCTGATCTGAAAAGGGATCAAACATATTTTATAACCAAATTTGGTTGAATTCCAACTATGATCTATTTATAGTTGCGTGATCTTGAGTTGATTATAAATAAATATAAATTAATTTTAAAACGAAGCCCTGATTCTCTTTCATGTTAACGTTCAAATAAAATATTCTTTTTCATTTATCATACCTATTGTAGACAAGATATGTTTATTCAAGCTTATACAGGGACTTATAAGATTTCAAAAGGACATTTACTCGTTGGCAATATCCATTTAGCTCATAGGGACCCAAATGTATTTCCAGAACCAGATACATTTAAGCCTTTCCGATTCTATGACGATCCAGTAAGAAGTTTTAAATATGTTGTACAACCATAAATATAGATTGCTCGTAAATTGAAATTTCTATGAATTTCATTTTTTATTATTCTTAATGAATGTAATGCACATAAATATTTGTAGGAATTGATACGGCATATGATTTGGGAAGCTGGAGTATATCCAGATGAAGCCAAAAACTTAAGTCATCAGTGTCCAGGAAAGGTATTCATTAAATATGACTTTAATTTAAAATAGAGGCTCCTGATATTAAGATCTATTTGTTACTCGTATATTAATTATTTTACTCTGAATTTACTTATATTTGCTATTATAGAAAATGATGATGATTCTTCTTCAGCTCTTTTGCATGAAATTATTGATACATACAGAGTTTCAGTTTGATGTAACGCCGGACTGGAATGAAAAACAGTAAGTTTTAGTGATTGCTAAATGCTTAGTAATAATATTGATTATGCCTGTCAGGATAGTGTAAAATGATAAAATGTATAGGTATATAAATTGATTACCCAAGGGTATTGGTAGTCTGTATTGCCATAACAGTATTAAAAATGAAGCAAATCTAATTTTATACTATTTACCTTATAAGCTTACATAGCCTTGGCTGCCCTGATGGTTGTTTAACTCTAAATCAATTTTCATATGATCCAGCTATGGTAAGGACTATGTAATTAATGCTAAATAAAATTCATGTTTGAATAAATATCAGGAAATAGAATAATTAATCAGATATCTCACTGCTAGTTCAAGATCAAGCTATCGGATGATATTTGCAATTCGCATTCACCGTTTCTTCACTGCGAAGATTAAATATGGATTATATAGACCATCATCAGAATACTAGATAATTGACGTGTTGATTACATCTTGTGTCTCTATGTACTAGCCCAAATTTTACTTATCTGACGATGTTCATAATTAGAATTCACCGTTTTCAATTACAGCGATTAAATATAGACAGTAAATATTGGCTATTGTAACGAGTAGCGCATAAAGCTTGATAATTCCATTATAGCATAGCTTTTCATGGTTGTATTTATGATATTATTTATTAGATAGTATAAGAACCAAATTTGTTCATTACAAGAATGAATGGATTTCTGTCATGACATTGGTATATTTTAGCGTAATTCTTTTATGACAATATCATTTAAAGTTAATTTCTAAAGTATTTAGAATATGGAAATGCTTGCTAAAACGACGAGCCATGAATTGCGTTTGATGAACTCAGGTGAATACCTATTCACTATTCAAGTACGAGCACATAGCCGAATAACTTAAATTGTTAGTGTAACGAGCATCGAACAAGAAATTTACTGCGGTCACAATCGATGTTAACTCTACACAGAACTACAGTATGTAGTTATGGTAAAGAAATAATTTTAAGTCCATTGCATTGGTAAGCATCTGATGTATGCGAGTATGAGACTTCAAATTTGAAGTCATATCATGTACTTTGAAGGTAAAATTTGTTCACGTTATACGTGTGGTTACAATATTTTAGAACCAATATTTCATTGAGTATATTGCCGTAAATTTTTCGGGCTTTATTAATTTACAGTAAACTATTTCAGACACCTGTTTGGAGAAGGTCGATCTTAAACCATGTTTATAAAGATACTAAATAATAATGATTTATAATTACAATAGAGTGATTTTTAGATCATTGACAGTATGCCAATATTGAAAGTTACATGTAACAAGAAATTAGCAATAAAGGGTACAAAGACTAGTTAAAAAGAGTGTTAGGAAATTAATGCCTGTTCAGAACTTAAATAGAGCAGTCAGATTGTCACCTTTGAAATAAATTACATTTGAGATTCTCTGTTTTAAGTCCTGTATTCCTAATAGAAAATTAACCAATTTTATATGCAATATGTACAACAGAAAAAGCTGATACTAAATGGCAATAACAAATTATAGCTAATTCCGAGTAACATTGTTCAGCGTAAAAGATAGTTGTAATATTGTGTTCATAGTAAGTCCTAATACTAAAGTATTAGTTTGAAGGTTGACATTCGTAATGATACGCCAGATGATCGTCATCCAAGGTTCTACAACATGGAGGCAGATAACGATAATCTGTATGGTAGTCTGATAAATACTTATTACAATATTTACATTTGCTGTTAAAGAGGTTCTTGTAACTAGCCAGCCAATTCTAATTTTGAAATTAAAGTATTCCGTTAGTTTATTAATCCAGATGTGACGTAAAATAGATAATAAGAAAGCTCTTTATTTTTACCAAGAACAATTCCAAGGCTGCAGCAGGAGTATTATTACCATAATAATGCAATGATGCCGATGTTGCGCGTAATGTAACCTGGAATAAAGCACATTAAAAATGAAAATAGCGAAAGTTTCGTGATCAAGTTAACATTTAACATTATGCGTTACTATAATGTTATCCTAACCAATTTAAAAACTTGATACGTCGATGTAGTTCGAGTTTTTGCCTATTGATTGAGACATAGATAAATTGTTGGCATCAAAATATATTTCTAAACACGACAAGAAATTGAGTAAAGAAAAAAAGAAATGATAATATAAATTGTAAAATTATAACATATTTTAGCTAGTTTGATGCTAAGTACTTTATTCAATTCTTCAGGAGCCATGACCAAAACCTTGGAGATCACTAAACTTTCAGTTATATATATAAGTGCTGTCATAGTGTTTTTGATAGTTACCTATAATTTTAATTTGTTGAACAATTATGGATACAATTGCAATTGAATAATGATCATACATAGTTGTAAGCACATAATTTTTAGATAATTACTTTAACTAAGGAGCCGTCGTTGCTACTTGTATCTATTACTAGTTCTTCGTGGGAGTTACCAATCCTTGTTAGCATGTCATTTTTACTATGAAAGAAGTACAAAATGGTAAAATTGATTAATTGATCCATCAGTAAGTGTAAATGACAGATACATTAGATGTGATGACAATTATGCTAAATTAAAATAAATGTGCTAACATGTTCTGCAAATTGCTGATATCATGATCTGCGCTTCTGGATAGTTTATCATCATTTTCATTTTGTAGAAAATTAATTTCGTGTTGTCGTTTGTCCATAATTTGGTATATAACTTTACTGTTTGTTTTTACCTACCAAGAATGAAGCATAAGGTTTTACTATTTTAGAAGGTAGAAAATCAGGATAAGCTTACACAATAATGACATCAAATTGTAGAGGGGTCAATAGGTGAAAAATGTTATTTTGAAAGCATTTCCTAAAAATTAGGGTAGCCGTAGCAAATTTGCAATCTAAATTAACTGTAATAAGAGTAGGACTAGCTATATAGTCGTAAGTACAACACAGAATCCAGTTATACAGGTATTATTTGGACGATTTCTGTTTTAGAGTACATCTATAATAATGTTTAGAGAATATTTTTTCTATATACGCTCGTGTATGTAGCTTGGTAATACTGTAGTAACTCTCTTTTAGATATACTGTACTGTCATGATAACATTGTCGATCAAATGAAGGTTCTATACTATTTTAAATCATAGGCAAATTTTTACAACTTACATTTTGATTCCATTCATACGAATTGATCAGATCTTGGTGTGTTGATTTTCCTTCCAATTGAGGATCGTAAAGTAGCAGAGAGGGAAGTGCAGAAGAGGGTGGCAAAGAAGGCATGCTTTTGAACTCTGCATTGCTCAATTGCCTAGTTCAAATTATTTAAAAGCATATCTTTACATACAGTACCATTTCAAAGATAGATATTACCAAATGATGCAATTACATTATCGCAGGGAATTTTTTCGATGGAAATTATTGTAGCAGTTATTAACTTCGTACATGATATGATTAGCATGTCGTTTGCACTTTTATCCGTATTGTTTATATTTGCATTGCAATGATAGCAGTACAATAATTTCCTAATCTACATCGCGATTGACCGTATTTAACGGTTATTATTAATTTAGTATGTCAAATTACGTTTCCTTTAACAGTCTCATATTCCATATTATATTGACTGTATAGTTTACTGTAAATCTGATAATACTGTCTTGTCATTGCATGAATTGGATGACAGGGATACTCGTATTTACAATCGCTTACTAAAATGATGCTATACAGTATCACGGATGTTACGCTGAATACAAAGATTAAAAAGGATGGCAATGTTGACTTGTATGGCAGTTTAAATTAATGTATAGTATTATGTGTACAGTAAGTAGATTGGGCTAGTGCCATTAGTCCATATCGAAATGGATAGCATCAATCTGAGGAAAAATGGTAATGGATAAGAAGAGTAACTCAACTACGCAAGCTGGTCTCAATCGTTTGTTATTCTTACACCATATCATCATGACGACTTTAATACAAGTAGTGGGTTATTTGTATCGCCTAAAAGGATCGGATACAACGTATGATAGCACCTGTGTAGCCCAATATCATGATGAAGTATACAATATAGGAGTAATTTTCGTAGTTTATGACTGGCTGTATGAAGACTTGGTGAAAGTAGTGATGAATTTTAATGATTTCATTCTACAGGGCAATATGACACTAGTAATTTCATGCTGCTATCCATTGCAAGTCGCTGGTATCGGAATGGGTTATAACTGCTGATCCCAGTCTATTTTGAATTATGATTGCAGCTACAATCATGGATGGGTTGTTATTTTAATGCGATCTATTGCAATGATTAAGTAGTAAATATGGCCATTTTGAAGGGTGGTATTCCGCTCTTGTATTCAAGGGTAGACTATGTTGACTGTCTACCTACATTAAATGGTGTTTAATACTGGTATTTGCGTCCTCTAATTTCTGTTTCAGTTGAGTCATATTCTTCGTTTGAGTATCAGCATCCTCTTGATGATGAGCAGCTAAGATTTGATCATTGAGATCGTTGAAGAGATCTTTGACATTCCAACGTAGTTCTCGTATCGCATGAAGTGCATCTTGTAATTTTAGTAAATTAGCTTCAACAGTTGTGCTGTCATTGGACGTTGATCCATTTTGAGTTGGATTACTGTCAGTATTGGAGGTAGAAATTCCGTTGGAGTTTCCGTTCATGATTGACAAGATAGCAGTCCAAATTAGCTGTTGGCTGGCCTACAATGTTTGCCCTTGAAATGGAGAACAGGAAGCCAACAGGCGTACAATCAATTAGCGGCGGGAACTTTCTCAAACCTCTTCGCTTGAGCAGGAGGTTAAAAGTCCTTTTAAATTCCTTATTCTGGTGATGCTGGTGTGGACAACAGATTCAGGTCCCGGACCCAACCGGACCGACTATCAGCAGTACTTTTGTATAGAAGAAGAAGACGCCAGTTTACAGTACACTGTACTGTATTTTACTGTACAATGTACTGTAATGGACTACAGTACAGTGTTGAATTAGCTATTCTAGTGATGCTGGTGTGGACAAAAGAAAGCCAAACAATGGAGTCACTCATACTGTACTGTACGATTGCTTCTGTACCGCATGCTCAGTGTCCGGTAAGGTAACTCGTGTTTACAGTACTTTGTACGTATTACTGTACTGTACACTGTACTGTACAGTACAGACTGTACACTCTACTCTTCGATTGATTCTGTACCGCATGCTCAATGTCCGGCACGGTACGGTAACTGTCGGTTCTGGTCCGGGACCGGACCGGACCGACTATGAGCAGTGTACTGTACTTTTGTACAGAGGAAGAAGACGCCAGTTTATAGTACTGTACACTGTATTGTACTGGACTGTGTACAGTAGTCTGCTGACTACTGTACTGTACACTGTACAGTGCTCAATTCGCTATTCTAGTGATGCTGGTGTGGACAAAAGAAAGCCAAACAACGAGTCACTCATACATAGCTTCAGACTCATTTCTGGATGGTTGTCGCTAGACCTGACTTGTCGCAGAGACATCGTGTCTACAGTACTTTGTACGTACTACTGTACAGTACAGACTGTACACTCTACTGTTCGATCCAGCCTTTAGCGCATGCTCAGTGCCCGGTCCGGTACCGGTAACTGTCAGTTCAGGTCCCGGACCGGGCCGACTATCAGCAGTACTGTTGTACTGAAGAAGAAGACGCTAGTTTATAGTACGCTGTATTGTACTGGACTACTGTGCTAAATTTACTGAGGTCTTGCTGCACGGTGATGTCCAACATGATATTGTGTGACTGCCAATCACGGATAATTTATTGATGCTAGGAAATATTTAGACTGCCAACTCGATTTCTGAAATCAAGGATACAAAAATTTCAACGCTCCACTACCTTACTGGTGGCTCGTGATTTTGGACTGTAGTAAACTTCATGATTATTGATTGCTTTTCTATTGAATAGCAAGAGTGTGAATGGAAAGGGGCCAATTCCAGCAATATTGAGTTCAATAATTGGCTCATACAGTAGTACTGTAGTTGACACAGACTTTCTTTGCTACAAAATTGAGGCAATTCATTGCATTGTCAATGCAACAGGTTTAATTACTGTTAACGACGACAGTCTTTTTTTTCCATCTGGATATCCTAATTCATTGGTAAAGTCGATATCACCTATGGAATACGATACAGATACCATCTATACGAAGGTTCAAACCTTTTGCCAAAATATGCAAACCCCAAGAACTTTGGAGGAGCTTATGAAAGACATTCATTGCTATGATGAAAATTTACTCCAAGACTGCATCAAGAGGTTACCCTCAACCAATGGCATGTACGTAGGAGTAGAATATGATCAACAGTAGATCCGTAGAATATTCTACCTTATTGCATAGGCTAAATGCAATCACTATCTCTACAATAGAATAGGATAGATACTCTTGTAGTGGTCAAGCTTGTACAGTATTATTGTTAACGGATAAAAGTTTGATCAATCATTTTGTATTCACCATTTGCTTTTGCTATCTTACGTCGCAAGGATTGACTTGCATATTATTTCATATCCGGTATATTATTTCCTAGACATCTCTATCAACTAAGTAGTAAAGACGATAATACGATCCACATGATTTGGAAAATATTTTCTTCGGAAAAAACCAAACAGGATATGGCGTGTACGAGTCCTCGGCCCAGGTTGCATAAACTTCACATTTTGCTGTTATAATGCTGGATATTCGCTTTTGCTTTGTTGTAATAGAATACAATCTTATTGATTATGTTGCATTGATAAATTCAATTATATCGTACGATTCCATGGCTGTATCTGGAGTAGCACCCCACAACAACGACTTCCAACTACACCAGTAAGCAATCCATTTATCAATACTAAAATTAAAATATTTCAATTCTCCTCTCAACAACAAATGCTCGTATTTTAGCATCATACGATACAATGTTAAGAATTATTGAATTTTAATCACTCTGATATGACTATTATTGATGTTATAGGGATCAGCACGAAAGAGGACTATAGCTACACCTGATAAAACCGTGCTATTAAAACAATATAATGACTTGCAAGCAAGACTAGTATCTTTGGATAATGATATTGCTAAACTCGATACACAGTTAGTCAGCTATGAAATAAAATAATGATCTGTATAAACTTAATAAAATAAAATACAATTACTTATCAAGTGCACAAGTTTGAGATGGTCATTGAACTTTTTATCATAATTGAAATTAATTTAAGACTAAGATTGTATTTCAATCATTGCTAATGATACTTTCTTAAATTTATGATGTAGTTATAATGAAGAGGACCTGGCACTTTTTATTGATAAGCTTCACCAGTACAATGAAATAAAAGACATTGGACAGATCTTGTTGGGGAAACTTGGTAAGTTTATTTTAGTACAAATTGTTGTAGCTTAACAAGGTAGCTACAATTTCAGGCATGTTGTATAGGTGTAGTATATAGTAATAATCTACGTGATACAGTAAGATGCCTTGAACCATACTTAATACCATATCATTTAACGCCATTTTTTTTATTTAAATTGATTGCAGCTGAGGTTGAAGGTGTCCTAGTAAAAGATTTATATGATAGATTTGGCTTAGACATGGAAGACTAATGAAATTAAATGTACCTAGAGTTCTTTAATTTATGTCTTAGTATATAAGCCTGTTTGAAAATTGCGTATATTCAAATAGTGTCTTGTAAATACTAGTACTACTCGAAAAGGATCCTTATTACCAAAGAATTGATGTAATACAGTGCAGAACTGCTATATTGGATAATGTAAATAGAGATATAAATTCTTACATTGGATAAAATATTTCAACTCCAGTTTATAATGTCATCAATTACATGCGTAAATAATTATTTATACAAGCATGTAATTCAGTGTTGCTTTATTTAAGGTTTAAATTATTTTAAATGACTATAGCGAATACGGGTTAGAAATCGCTCTAGAAACAAATGATCTCTTGTTGTGAAAATGTGCTACTTGCAAGTCAAGTGCAAGAATCAAATTTATGCGATTTTAAGCCATGTTGATCATAACGAGTTTAGTTTGATCAAAGTTTAAAATAAATTTTCTTAAGAAATCTTGTCCAAAAAGTGTAATTTTGATAGTTCTATATTAAACAGAGGAGATATTAAGCCAATTGTATCAATACAAACCCTAATTAATTATTTTAATTGATAATCTGATGAATGTATCAGTGATTTTAGCTGCCTAAATTAGTGGTGAAAGGACGCTTGCAGTAGTATCAAGATGACATACTAAGAGTATGTGGTAACTATCAACGAATTAATATTTTAAATGAGGACATCTATATTCAGTTTTTGTACGTTGTAAAGTATAAGTTAACAGAAGTGACGATTGTTCTCTTACAATTTGTTGGAGAACTTGACTGCCGTACTCAATAGGGTTTGTAAGATGATAGGCGGGTTAAAATAAGGATATTTTATGTAGTATTAATAAACAAATGTACGATGTTCACTTCCTGACTGTATTCTTAAGTCGAGGAAAGCAACATATTCAGTAGCTTATCTTGCAAGTGCATACTTCCTCTTTTTATGAAGATAATCACAGATTTGAGTAATGATTATAAAGATTTGATAAATTGATGTAAAATATTTCCAATTTTGCTATATCATAGCCCTTTAAGTATTTGAATTAGGTATACTGCACCATATTTTAATAATATTCCAGTGAATAGTGATATCAGCTTTCTCCAATATAGATATATAATCTATGGTAATATAACATAGCGAAACGATTACTTATAATATTTTCGGCCTTCTTCCTTCGCAACATTCCCTGCTTTGATTGGCAAGCAACATATTTGCTACATCCCATGTCCTTACTATGCGACATTGCAATATTATCGTACGCTGGTATACAGTACTGTATGCAAATATAACTGTGACAGTATCAACTTTGCATCAAGCAGTGAGCAATGGGCGATACAGAGTATTTTTCATCATTGAGATATAAAGTAATGACTACTGTTTAGTTCATAATTAATTTATAGATACAGTACAGTGGAAAAAGGCTTTTAGAAATAAAAAAGAAAATCTTATCAAATAATCTCTTACTGAAATATCATCTTTCACTAAGGGGTGATAATAAAAAACAAAAAGCGCGAGTATGGCGGCAAAGCCCTAGCTGGTGGCCATGTCTCCAGACACAGCCCCTATAGTCTAAAACACGCCTATAAGTTGTTAAAAAGTCATTTGAAGAGGTTAGTTGATTAGCCATTATTATCTACGTTAAAAAACAACCGAGGACATTGTAATAAGGGCGTCTCACACTAATTATCTTAGTCAAATGGTATTTTCTAAAAGGCTGTTATTACAAGGCTTTAGGAATAGTAGAGCAATCATTAATTGCTACGAGAATCTAGTCTAAATCGAAAGTATTCCGAGCTCAAAGCGAAGTGAAGTCTCTTTTCTTCTGTGAGCTGATCTCTGCAGTTCTTATAAACATTTCGCTCAATCCATTTATGACAACTTGATTAATCTACAAGCAGACATGAGTCATCAAAAAAATTAATTTTCTCTAATAGTGCATCATTATTTTCTACCATCTAAATCATTCTACTCAAGATGTCACTACTCTTCTATTCGCGTTTAGGCCCTTTCTCCGAAGGGCATCTTAACCACTACAGTGTTTCTAGCTACATCAATCTTGCACCATAATTAGTCAACTGGCTACTATTAGTCGTCAACAATTTCTAATATAGTAGTTAGCAATCATCTAATATTAGCTTCACGATAGTATCTATTTAAAGTAACCTAACTATATCAAATATAGCTATCCGTATAATCAAATATGGGTGCATCACTACAGATATACATAGTTGAAAAAGGTATGCGATATTTGACTTTGAAACCATTGTTATTTTTATTTCTACGCGTAATTACGTGCGAATGTATAGTATATTCGTATTAGTCATCATATAGGCGCGGCGCCATTGTGCCATTTTTCTTTCTTTTACTGAGCAATCATACGCATAGGTGAAGAATTAGTCATAGAAACATTTGCACATACCAAGTATGGAAAAAATGTTGATGTTATTGATTGTACAATCATTTTATTACTTTGTTAAAGAATGATTCGCATACGAACTGCAATAAAAGCGCAAACTTGTCCGTGCTAAAGTATGAGAAGGACCGTAGTATTCACGTTGCTACCTGTAATTATTTCCATAGTCTCCTATCTGTAAGGTGTTCATAAGATTTCATGTTGGAAGTAACTTAATTCTTCTTAAGTTATCTACCTCTCCCTGATATACGTTCCTCGTGGATTCTGAATAAAATCCTGACAACTCTTAACCTTAACGAGCTTGCATGCCCCTTCGTGGCCTACCCTTTTCATTAACGAATTTCGGTCTATACTTTGCGTACTAATAGAAAGTTTACACTAGTACATTGGTGTACGCTGGTACTATATATATAATATATATATAAGGAGGCTCTTTACAACACCTGATTAACGAAAGGACTAGCTTAAACAGTATCTTCTAAACCTGCATAACTTTTTTTTTCAATTTGATAAATGCTTTGAATAGAATAAAATAATTTAATCAAAGGTTGCAATTGATCAGAATGAGGATAGAATAGGATATACTGGGCAACAAGTTGCCAGCTTATTTTATAATCCTGGGTTAGCGAATGACTTCAGTTAAACTAGGATAGCCTTAAAGCGTTATACAGCATCTACCTAGATATGCGCAAAGTAATGTAAGCTATCACTTCACCGATATACTATATTATATTGCTCTTATATGTAATCCATCAGTAATGCAGCATATATTTGATCACTATTTTTAACGCCATCAACAATAATTGTAAGGATGAAGTATATGATTACGGCTTCATTTGAACTGACTGATATTGAATATTATGATTTCGTTAAAAATGCTATACAGACCATTTCATGAAAGGATCAATGATAATCATGCCATTAGTATTAATAACTACCCAGCATATCCAGATTTTTTTGCAGATTAAAAATTATTATTCCTCGTTTCTGTATGATATCAATACTTTCCAAGTAGCGTTGTTTATATTTACTCACTTCATGTATAGCCCACTATCTTAATTTGAAACTGCACTCTAATGGATTGTTTTATTTGAATTTTTATCGGTAGTTTAGATAAAAAAGTTACCGTTTATTTACGGTGCTGTAGGATTAATCCCTTCAAGCAGTTTCTTTCTACTTATATCATTTATGTGTAGCCTTAATGTATTAACTGAAAGTTAACAGTGTCTATCAAGCTTATGGTATAATGCATGGTATAGATATTACCTGTTAATATTTTGATCTATAGATCAACTCCTGTAGTTAATATTTCACAGTTAATATCAACTTAGGTGATATCGAAATTTTGCGAGAAATTAAGCAAAGACCTATCACATTACTAGTGACTTGATAAGGATGATGGGCGAATTTACAAGATATCAGTAATTTGTACTTTAGTGGATACATTCATTTAATTATATCTTTGGCAGATAGAATCATTTAATTACATCTTTGCTTACATTTTGATAATTTTCAGAGTATAATAAACGGTCATATATACAGTAGCATAAGTGTAAGCTAGATCTCGCTCGAAACTAGTTGATATCACGAATACTGGCTACGAGTTGTTACTAATTTATTATATATTTGTTTTTGAGACTACACGCTAATTGGTGCGTACCCTAAAAGCAAATAGAATTTTTACATTAAATACACATATTTTTTAGAAAGCAAAATAGCGCATTATGGTATAAAAATTTTTATAAGATACGATAAACACTCAGTATTGTTGCTTATGATATAAAACATAGATTAGAGCAAAGTTATGACATATAAATAGATCAATTTATTTCTTTCATGTACTAAAAGTATCAATGCACCAAGTTACAGTATTAGGCAAAACTGTCATGATATCTATGTTGTAGGATCGATAACAATTTTAGTAAACCGGTTGCGTAGTGTTTTGACTAAGGCACTATTTTTATTCAACGTATTTGACTAAATTAGATCTGATAGTCTATTTTATGACGTCAGTAATAGTCATTATTCTCATCTAATGGTAAGCTAGTAAATATATGAACTAACGCTAAGGAATTTTTGTCTCTACAAATAGCTTTAATACTGTGAATTGTGTGATACATGCATACCATACTTTAAGACTGGTAACTTACTGTACTTAGATATGTAGGTGATATATAAACTTTGTTAATACGTGTTTACTGACTGTGATGATTTATAATATCTAACTAAGATCAATTTTTTTCGTTATTTACAAGCGTTGCCAGTGTGCTATGATTATTACAAAATTTGTAAAGGATCAATGTCATTAAAATGCAATAGTCTGGCATTAACTGAGGCATATTCTTCATTACAAGCAAAACATACGATTCTTGCGCTATAAATAATATGAACGGTCCATGATATATTGATTCTCATAGATCATACTTGAACTACCATGATTTCAGTGTCGACAATTGACTAAGGAGCTTATTTAGGGATAATTGAATTGGTTGATGAAAGTAGATATATTATGTTGTTTTTATAATTTATTGCATGTACATCAGGACGTTATGTAATTTCTGTTCTATCGATTGTATAGAAAAAGAACTACATTATTAACTCGATTAGTGCTGTTATGTTAGCACTATTGTTTTACTCCTGTTATTTGTAAAAATGTTTTATGGATAATTATATAATTTGCCGATTACGGTAAAAGTATTTAAAATTGTTTTCTACATATTCGTATTTATTAGATATATTATAGTCTATTTGTGTAATGAATTCAATTTGTGGGCGATAGCATGCTTGTAGTAATAATTGAGAAAAATTTGTTTAAGCTCAATTTCATCAGTTAGATGAGTAAAATTGTCGCTGTGTTCATTAGCTATACCCGTCCATGATATGAGTATAGTTTAGTGACTGATTGACTTGATGAATGTGGAAAAGTTTATCCTAGTTCTTAGTCAACTATGAGAGTTATTAGAGGTAATCGAATGATTCTAATTCTATTGATAATTACTTGGTTAATTATTTTGGTACTGTGATTGTATTATGGTCGTACTTTTCTGAGAAATGATACACCCCTGTGTGATGAACGTCATATGATGCCAGTGTGTCGAGACTAATAGGAAGCTTGTGGGATAGACAAGGCGGTAGGAATAATATAATACAGTAGAGCTGTATAGAAAGTAATTAAGTTATTGACATAAAAAAGAAAAAAAAAATAGACCATCATTCATCCTTGACAATCCAATGTTAATTAATCATGACATCCCTGACGGCCATGCCAAGGCATTATTGACAAACTTGAATGTATCGACCATGATGATGATTGTTTTGATGTTATGCCAGCTATGACTGTTACTCGATTGATGTTGTGACTGGTAGATGGAATGAAAAATTGAAATGTTATTGGAACTAGTCTACATTGTACTGTATTGTTTGGTCTTGATATGATATTGTATTGATAGACTACGGAGAATGCAAGATTGGATCATAATTTGGATGAGCTGATAGCAGATGGAACCAATGTGACCAATATCGCAGTGTACTGGGTTGGATGTAGAATCTCGTTGTAGAAAACATATCGGTTTTATGTCATTCATTGGTGTTGCTCTATAGCAAAATTAATTTATAACTTGATTAGCAGCAAAGAGAGATTTTCCTCTTCTTTTCCAAATTTTCCACAGAATTATGGTATTTACAGGAGTGCTTCACAAGAGATCGCGGTAAGTTGTCTGCTTATTGAATCCTTGATCCTTTATTAGTGGTGTACTATGGAGAATTTCACATGATACTTTAAACGCGTATCTGTATCGATTCTACCGGGACAAATGTTGTAGCTTGTAAATCTAGAATTAGGGTACAGTACACTGTACTGTACAGTACTGTATGTTAGGCTTGTTAGCTGTATTGATGTACTGTACAGTGTACAGTACTGTACAGTATACTGTAAGTCATCTACAGTACATACTGTACAGTACTGTACAGTATACTGTACCGTGTAGGCGTGTACGTCCTGTCTATTGTATCGATTCTATCGGGACTACTGTAGTAAATGTAGAATTAGCTGTATTGATGCATACTGGAAGTCATCTATGTCATATAATGTACTGTATACGTCCTGTCTATTGTTACAGCATACTGTACTGTAGAATGTAGACACCGATATGACAAGGCCGTCATGTACACATGCGTAGTACTGGTTCTTTCAACTGCGTCCTATGTCTGCAAGCGAACACAGTGTCTACTCTCCGTTACAATGGTCATTCAAATGAGCTGTCCGCTGTACAGTATACTGTACTGTACTGGATGATATTGCGGACGCTGAGTAAGACGACAAAGTCTCATTTAAGACAAGTAAGCATGGATCCAACAGTTGAGATTGTTTTTAGTTTCTTTTGGCGGAGTTACAATATCCATGCAACATGTCAGTGGCTGGAGCAATGCAGTGATTGAATGGATAAAAAGTCTTGCGTCTTATTTCTTAGTTGATTTTCGATTCATAAATGTTGAATTAATTAATGCAATGAACTAATTAAGTTGAAGGCGATCATGTGACAAGTGTATTTACAGATTGGTGAGACCGGACATGATCGTAAAACGTGCATCTTTCTGATCTGATCGGACTCGATCTCGTGTATATCTTGGGCATTTATTGGTAAATATGGAGATTGCATTGGAGATAGTGATAGCATCGACTACAGTACTGTATTCCTAATCATGGCAAGATGAAAATGACAGGTGTATTTTGACTATATTTCATGAATTCCAATTTATGAAATTAGCATACGGTTGAACATGGTGTAGTGGCCTGTAGCATTGCATGCTTTGGTTGGCTACCAAATTCAAAAAGCGAAAGGAGATATCTCTATCAAGGAAATGATGCTATGACAAGACGTTGAGCGAGGAACTTGACAACAATAACAACATCAAATAAGGCAACTGTTGTTCTTGATTCAGCTTGTCAATCCATTGATATACTCTACTTCTACCATGACCGCAGTTATCCTATCGTCCATCACAACAATATACACCATAACTACGTGTATTGTGCGTGGTAGACAAAACAGTCTATAACTGCTTGTCGGCTGCATTCTAATTCGTTAGTCGCCACTCGCTACCATAGTCCGAAATTCAATGGTCGCCATAGTGGGTTTTACAACAATTCCATTCAAGCACTTTAGTAAAAAAAGTGGACAAAGCCTAGCCAGTCTAAAAATAGTCATTGTAATTCTTGTACTGTACATTGGTCGCCATGAGCTACCCAGGTGGAAATTCTCACCATCATACGACCATTTGTGTCCATTCCACCTTGAGTAGAATGGAGCATTGCCTAGTGGATGCAGCCTATCCACTGTAGTCGTCCATCATCGTCCGCGACAGGGTGGTGCTAAAGGTAAAAATTCGCCCGTAACCTCTGTTACTAAGGTGAAAGCCGCTCCCATAGGCAATTATACCAATCACATCTTGTTTATTTTGTTCTATTCTTTTACCCCAGCCACAGTCCATGCGAGCGTTGACTGTTCGTTAAACGTATTGCCTGATATTCTCGCCGAGCTTTTGGAAATTCAACTTTTGCAGACAAGACCATTTCTTCGTCCATTGCTATTCCCTCTTGTGGTAATATTTTCCATGGTATGTTGTATATAGATGATGGAGGATAGGATAGTTGGATTTTCTTTCTCTTCAACTTACAGTCTTTCTACAGAATCAACGTATTCAGTAGAGGCATTTCTACCACAGTAGCCATTTTTTTGGGGGGGGGGGAAGTTGTTTTGTTTCTTATCTAATTTCGCTCGATAGATTATACAATACTTGTGACAAGGGTAGATCTCATTTTACTTGTAGACGATAATCATGACACTATACTTGAATAGGAGATGCAGTCTTGAATCGAATTTCAGTCATGGTACCATCGACGCTTCTGTCGATGAGATGGTAAAAGCCAACGATCAGTTGATCTCTACGCGGTTTTTTTTCCATCTATTTTTTGGGGGGTTGTTGTTATTTGGTGTTGATCGGGGCCAACGGAAGATGTTGAAACGATTCTCCTAGTGGTCTATGCTAACGAGAATTTTCCCTTTTTCAACTGCTTATTACATAGTCTTATACTTTGTAAATTGACCCACAGTGTCAATTAAAGAGCATCAATTAATACCTTCTAATAGACTTTAAATGCTAATCAAACACTACTTGTCTTGCAATGTTTTGATATCATCTGATCATTGCATCTACCAGTGTACAATCTATACTATACGAGTGGATAATCTTCTGTCAATTTCATTGATGAATCGCTGATTTATTTCAATTAGTGCTCCAACGGCAGTCAACAACTTTTCATTTTTCAGGTGTAGACATGTTAGACGATCTTGTTTAATTAATCTTTGATTAATCCATTTTGGTCGATCCATGTTATTACAGACAACGACATGCTACCATTTCTAATCCACCATTAAGCCGTCGTAATCGCTTAACCATGAATGGGACAAATGCTCGAAATGATCGATTCAGTAGTTCTCCGGTAAGTTATCAATATCAAAATTAAAAAGTAGTATTCTTGCTTGTAAAATTGCCATATTCTAATGGGATTACTTATCAAGAGAATAATTTGTGAGTGGAGGTATCTGTTTTTATCGGTATTTTCTTATGGCAAGAGGTTAACGTTTCTTCTTTCAAATTAGCATTTTTCATTTTAATTAATGATCAGTACCAGGTGCAGTAGCGAAGAAGAAAAAATTTGAAATCAACTACTGTTATTGATTACCATAGGGTCAAAGTTTACAAAAATTTCTTCTAGTCATAACTGAATAGCGGAGGCGTTCGTGCAATATTCTTGTAGAGAATATCCATTAAAAAAATCAGGATAATCTTGTAGCGTAAATATCCATTGCTACTCTATTTATAATTAATTAATCATTCTACTGTATATCCAATTTTTTGACCATCAAATTAGTCAAACATTTTAAAATTACTTGTTTCTTATCGGTTAGCGCCGATAGAAAAACGTATGCAATAGACAGTAATTTACGGTCCCGAAATAAACACATATGATGGACGTGTGGACAATGTAGGGCTTAACTTTTGTAAACACCATCATGGATTGCAATCGTTATTTCTTTTCATGGACTTTATACTATACCAGTCGGTAGAAATATCTCTAGCTTCCTGTTATAATAAATTGCGAAATAAATTACGACATATCAACTGTTGTACAGTACATTATTTTAATTGCTACCATTAGTATAGCATTTAGAGAAGTCAAGATCAGCTTATTTTAACAATTTCAATACTCAGATAGACTATTGTACGTAGATCGAGAAGTACTTTCGATGCCGTCAAGATTTCTCCTCAACGATTATTTTCATATTTATATTTGCTTAATTTGATATTTTTGACAGAACTTGAAATATTTCGGAGAAGAAAAAGAGTCGGGAGCTCTATACGACGTTTATTTAAAACGCATCCATTACAGCACATTGGCTAAAGATTTAAAGCAAGCAATCGATGCTGATGCCAGTGGTGTTTCTCATATGCAATGGCATACATGTAAAGTCCTATACATCAAAGCTGGCACGGTGAAGAAGGCTGTTCATTATATTAATCCAAAACAACAAGAAAATGATCCAAGTTTTGCCAACATTTTACTTTGTACTTATAAAACATTTACCACTCCTGAAGAATTACTTGATTTAATTTTAATGCGGTACGTCAACTCTATACTAGTCATTAATATTCATTTCCGCCCTCTTTGATAGTCATTAAAAAATAAAATTATGACATGGCATTTCCATGTCATCATAGTGCAATTTTAAGAGGATTTCTTTTTAAAAGTTAATGTTTTGTATCATGTTGCTACTGGAATTCAAGAATGAAATAGAGTAAAATAGTTGCATAAGTAGGACTAACTTTGTGTTACGTATTACTAACTATAGTTATGAACGACGTAGTTTGGTTTCCATAAATTTATCATTCTCCACCTTTGAATAGTTGTTAACTCACTATGTAAACAGTTGGATGCTATACAATTTTTCACTACTTACACAGCCAACATAGTGTTGTATCTAGTATCCACTTCATTATAGGCCATCATACTGTGTAGGGTTGTTGCAGTTTAGTAAGCATAACGTATAATTATTTCTTATTATTTTACCTATCAGATATCGACAATTAAATGACGTAGATGATGATCATAGCGATCCTGACGAAGATGAAACCGCTAAAGAGTGTGCAGAAGCGACACAAAAGTAAGTCTTTTTTAAGCAGCAATGAGAAAATTAGTTTTACCCGTAAAGTATGGTAATTTTTTTAAATTCAATTGATGAGAGAAATATGTCCTTCATATGTTGAATTGTAGTCAATACTAATGTATCAATCCTTTTAAGAGTATTAAGTAGTAGATAGTAGTGCTAATGTCAACGTGCAAATTTCTGGGAAAATATTTGATGCACACGTTGCCCTCCACGAGGAGTTCAATCTCAGCATTTAATTGCAAAGCAAATTATTGTATTAATCAGATGACGGTAGTAGATTTACAATTTACGTTGCTAATTAAATTGAATTCCGGTTACTCAAACACTCTTTTTACAAAGTTAATGTGGAAGTAATATCGATAAATTATTTAAATGTAAAGATCTTAATGAATAGTATTTCATCAGCAAACATAACGATAGCCATTTCTATACGCAGCTATTAATATGGAGGTTCTTGACAGGGATTAATAATTATTTAAAGCGTAGTGTTCGATTTTAATTTAATGAAGAAATCAATTTTATTTTCACTGAGTTCCGATCGATCTACATAAACTAACGCTCAATGTGATGAATAGGACGTAAAAAGCCTATTAGACGATAATATACTAGATATATTCTACCCGTAGCGTATCCTGCCTTGTCGTGCTCCATTTTATCACCCTTGATACTGTAACTGAAGATACGTATAAATATATCAATAAAAGTTATGACTATGCTGCGTCTTCTCGTACCAGTTTACTTGTTGATCTAGATATAAATATCATCGATCATTAATTCAGAACTACGTAGTTTAAATCTTAAGCTAATTGCTTATCTGTAAAGTAAACATTATCCATCGTTACTATTAAGGAATTTTCCCTTATGAAATTTATTATAGGCACTTTCGTTCTCCAATCTATTTTTATTTATCCGCGATGTAAACAGTATCTATCCTTGTATTTTGTTCTGTTCTTTCTCGATAAAATTAACGCTCTGCATTTTTGCGCTTTAATTTACTTGTTCATTTACTATATTAACAGCATCTGTCGCTTTAATTACCGGTAATTCTATCTTGACTAGATCAAACAAACTGTAGGCTTTTCATACTTTAATTTACCTGTTTATCTACTACAAAACATCATTTGGTTGTTTTGGTTAATTCTATCCTTCCCAGAAAGTAAACCCGTCATCACTAGCGTATTGCAGTATATATATTCTAACAATATTTGTCGCGATTTAACTCATCAACACAGAGGCGTTTGACTTAATCTATCCTTTCGGGTATAGTTGATTTTATATCTCCCTTCTTGCTATTCTAATTTTGACTAGTTAAATTAATATCACCTCATAATTATTAATGTTATCGCTAGATAGATCCTGTTATTGTATTTTTATTTATCTACAAAATATTCCGGTAATTTTTATTTACCGTTAATAATTTCACTCTATATTGCAATTGGCATATCAATTTGCGCTAGAATCCATTCTAAACAATTGATGATAGTATTTTATTCGATAAATTGATCTATTGTTATTGCTGTTGATAATTTTAAAGAGAATTCAATTTCTGGTCATACAATTTCTTTCAGTTTATTTCTTCCTGATTTGATTTGATTTTTTTCTTACGTTCATCATTTCTTTTATCTTTACTTACCAGTGATATTATGCTTTAATACTTTGTAAAATCGATTCAAGGACTACTTAAAGACAAACTCGAAACTTTCCATACTTGTAGAGCAGTTAATCAAGATATCAAATAATGAAAATCAGTGACTTTTATTGCGTGTATATATCGTAGTTGACTGCTAAAAATGGCTGTAGTTTTGAGATTACAAAAACGAATTTATATTAAGCCGGATAACATTGCATCATCGTTAAGTGATGAATCAATAGTATATCAATCCATGTCCAACAAATTAAAAAGAGTAAATCATTTCCCAACCTACAATATCTTGCAAGTAAAAAAGATATCCATTTGCCAAGAAATTTAACCTGTACTAGTTTTAAATCTATTAAACATTTTCAGAAAGATAAATTATACATTATACTTATTTTTACTCTTTATTCACTGAGTTAACTTTCTCTCTGTTAGATGTCTTCGTAATTTTATATATTCATGGATTGAAGAATATCCTGCTGATTTCGATCAACACCCAGATTATCCACGACTAAATAAATTAATAGAATTTGGACGAAATGTAATGAAAAATGAAAAATTAATTGAACGACTAGTAGAATGCCAACATAGCTTCCAGTCTTCTCATCAAGGCACCGCATCAACTAATGAAGATGACGACGGTAAATAATATGTGCTGTGAAATATAAATTAATCGGTACTTATCCCATCAAGTTATGATTTGAAATTTATTAAGTAGAGTTGTTTAGAAACGCAGAAATTATTATTATATCATGATTAGGAACGGCTTTATATCTTTATTGAGAAATGACTATGAGATAATTTAATTTCTCTGTATGTATTTTAAATTCAATTAGCGGAAAGCGATTGTTCTAGTAACTGTGGTTCTGCATCGTCACTATCTTTGGATTTTCTGTCTATTCCTACGGCTAATTTTGCTGAACAGCTAACCCTTTTAGATGCGGTAAGCATTGCAGTTTGATTTCGACCCTAAATTCAAAATCTATTGTGGTGATGCCTTATGGTTAAATATCATATCAAAACGATACATTGGATATAATAATAATAACATATCATCTTCAGCTTTTAGTTTCTCATACGAATAAATTACATATATGAATTTTAGAGTTCAAACCACAAATGATAGTTTACGCATACTAAAAAAAAAGTTACTGAATAATTTATACTATATTGTTTTAACTCAATAGCAAGCTATAATAACTATATCGACCCACTCACTTAGCTTAGTATTTCTTTTCTTCCGCCCACTAGTTACATATTTCAGATATAATTCAATTTTTTCTTTGATATTCCTAACTTACTTCAGGAGTTATTCAGAAAAGTCACCCCGCATCAGTGTTTGGGTGGCATTTGGGCTAAACGAAATAAAGACGATGGAAATGAATTAACCGGTAGCGTAACGGCTACAATCAAACAATTTAATCGCGTTTTATTTTCTGTTGTTACAACAATACTGAATTATGGTGGCGATAGTAGTACACCGCATTTACGAGGCAAAATTATATCAAAATGGATAGATATAGCACAAGTTAGTCATTAAAATAATATATTATGCAGTTAAATGAGTGTAATGTTATTATAATTAATGATTTCAATAAAAAATTTCAGGATTAGGATTTTAATTTATTGATTTGTACTCCTTGTTATAGGAATGTAGAATATTGAAAAACTTTTCATCGTCGAAAGCTATTATTACTGGATTACATTTTTCTCCAATTCATAGACTAAAAAAATCATGGCAAAATGTGAATAAGTATGTGCATTGTCAATATACTGTACATCATCACAAATGTGATTACATTTCTGAAGAAATATTTAATACTAATTGTATGAAGATGTAACCAAATCTATATTTTATTTACTTACTTATAGAGATAAAATTGAAATTTTTGAAGACTTGTTAATGTTATTTTCGGAGGAAAATAACCAAAAACTAAGTAGAGATGTTTTATGGAAGGTAAGTTTATTAATACAGAGCATGGTCTATTTACCTTGTGTATTCATTGACTATAAGAATAAAGATCAGTATTAACCTGCGTATCTTACAACATCTCATGTCAAATATATCTTTGTCTCTGTTAATTAGGAAGGAACTGCTAAATTTTCAGAAGTAACTGGATCTGGTTTAAGAAGATTAAGTCGTAGAAGAAGAAGAAAATCGAGACCTGAGCTAGTAAGTCATCATTCTACTGCTTATTTGTTATCTCTTACTATGACATCAGTGAATCATTCGAGAAATGAATGAACAAATCCTATAACTATTTTTGTGTAGCCGATGGTCCCTCAAGGCACAGTTCCTTATTTAGGCACTTTCCTTACGGACTTAACTATGCTGGATACTGCAAATGTAGATATGACCGAAGTATGTATTGATTTTATACGTTGCGGTGATAGCTAAATTAGATTCTATTATTACTGTAAGAAATTATAAATCAATGTAATGAAACTGATAATTAATGAGCTCAGTAAATGTTGGGGAATACAGATGGTAGAAGCTGTTATATACAGTATACGATAATCATATATTATTATAATCCATCATTCACTAATTTTTACACTGCGTCGTATGATTCATTTTAGAAAAAATTTTAATTTTTATTCTATGTATTTATCCATTAAATAGGACAAGTTGATAAATTTCGAGAAAAAAAGGAGGGTTAGTAAAATAAGTTAAAACGAAATAGGATTGTCGAATTTTATAGTCGGCTTGTTTACCCGTTGAACCGTCGCTCGAATTTGGTAAATTAATGTAGTCAATATTTTCGTATATAGGAATTCGAAGTGATTGCAAAAGTAAAATTATTGCAAGCCACCGCTAAAAATTATATGATAGTTGCAGATAAAGAATTTAGGAGATGGTTACGATCGTTAGATCTATTAACCGAAGATGAAAGGTTAGAAATGTCGATATGGAGATATGACTTTATTATTAAATCGTTAAGTTGATATCCAATTTGTGATCATTACCAGGCGTAATGTTTAGGTACTAATTTATGCTTGCTTATTGATATAATAGTTTTTGTTTATCAACGGATATCGAAAAAGATGGAACACCAAAAACGAAGGATAGAAAAAGTGGTGTTCTTCATTCCGTAAAGTACGTCGAAATAATAAATATTATTCTATTTTTAGATTTCTTATCTAAATATCTACAGTTACATCAGGGAATTTAGTGTATATATAATGTTATTCCTTTTTTATGTACGCGTACTATAGGAATCTATTTGGTGGAGTCAATAATTCTGTTGATGTCGAATTAATTCCAAGCGAGAGTATAGATAGTTTGGATACCGAAAGTATTAGTCTAACGCCGAATAAAGAAACGAGACGAGTAAGTAATTTTTGGTTGGCTTTTGAATTGTATACTATAGAAATTATAAATCATTAATGAGTTGTATCATTAAATTTGTATTAATTTATTATTTAATATATAGAGTTCAATTGGCTCTTTAACATCATCTTCAAGTGGTGAAGGAATGACTGGAACGACGACGGCAGCTACAAGTACTATTAAAACAAACACACAGTCACCCGCCATTGTTCAGCAAACTAAGTTAGCAACTTCACCTCAACAAACCGGTGGCCATATGAAACTAGCAACTTCACCTCAACAGTCTGGTGGCCATCCAAGACTTGCATCTCCACCTCAACAGTCTAGTAGCCTTATGAAAGTTGCAACATCAATTCAGCAAACTAGTGGCCCGATGAAATTGCTATCGTCGCCTCTTGGATGCTATGTGGTGAAAGTCATTTTTGAAAATCATAATTACACCAATATAACGAAAGTTTATAAAAGCATAGTTGTAAGTAAATTAAATTAATTTCGAATAAGTTATATTTATCATTAGCTACTATCGATGTAACTGGAGTATTATTAATATTCGAGCTAAACTAGCTTTATACGTTAAATAATACCCTACGTCATATGAAAGAGAAATTTTCTTATTTAAACATTCTATGCAATAGATAAGTAGCCAGGAGAGAACAAATTCTGTAATACAAAAGGTTTTATTTAAGTATGGCTTTCAAGATGAAGACCCTAATTCATATGAATTGCTGCAATCTATGGATAAGAAAGGTTAATATTTGATAAACCGTCTAAATAATTATTCTGTTTTTACCATTATATTCTGAACGAATGTAAATTTCAGCTGCTAATGTCGTTGGTAGTATGATTTTATACACTTTACACTATATGCATTGAAAGTTTGATTTAGAACGGTTATTATCTAGTTGCAATATTTCAGTAATAAATTTATATGAATTAAAAAATTGCAGTATTATTATTGACAGTTAGTAAAGTAGGAAGTCTAACTTTTTTCAATTATCTTATCTTATTGCTGTAGAAGTTGCTATCCCTAAAGGTACCAATGTTTATTATGCACTTAATACTGCCCAGCAAGAAATATATATGATTGTTAGAAAAATCTAAGAAACAATCGCCGGAAATAGAATTTATTTATGGGTGTCGCTTATAGCGTGTATGTCTGGCTATTTTTCCTTCAAATTGTAAGGATATCATATATTATATATTGGATTTTACCGAAACTTTATTATGAATTATAGTACACTATACCTGGTTTATTCTTAGAAGCGTTGGATAATTTTATGTACAGTACTCATACATAATTATAATCTATGTTTTAGATAAATTTGTTGTTGCACGAAAACCTATCAATACCATATTTTATACTACTGAATTTGTACATACCCGTACCACACTGGAATAACGTGTTTTAAAATTAATTTTTTGAAAGCAATCGTCATTTATGATAGTCCCATTTCGTTTTAGTGCGTGATATAATAACAATGTGCTGAAAAGATTTATCAATATTTCACTGTATATTATAAATATTATTAATAGTACAAATTTTACGAAGTGCCTTTTACTGTCTAGCGGTTGACCGGTTGCAAAAACTATTCTTGGTAAAAAGTTATTGACAATATCGCTAGAGTTCTTTATCTTCGTTGGAATGTAATAAAATTTTCGGTTTTCTAACGTGATGTTATATCAACTATATCGTTTATGTCTTGATTTATGTATTTTGTAAATATAAAAGCCTCTACAATCGCGCAATACGAGTTTGTACTTCATTTACATAGATTCACAAACTCTTTCGTCAACAGAATTTAAATAAGCTCCCCAACAACGGCTGAAAATTTAGATCAGTTCTAATAATTGCATATCTACAGTATCTATAGTATTCATGCCGATTCTTGTTACATTTTCCTAGTAAAATTTCGGTACTTATGAATGCATTCAAGAGATTTATGATTACCGTCAGTTGCATGCTGCCCTTTAGCAATTCAATAGATCTCACTATCATGGCCATGAAACGAGGCAGTGCGTTTAATGCAAATTAAAATACTTATTCTGTACTGGGTACAGTACAATACTCTATGAATGTACAGTACTATACCTTCTTCATATCATTATTTCATCTATATTTTTTAGGACTGGTAGCTACATGATAATGGGTGATGTGAAAGTATCATGAAACGAGCTTCATCAACCGTAAATGGGACTCGCATTCTTTTTACGTAGTAGTAGATTGTATATGGGTTCATTAATTCTTCTTCTGTACTTTACTATTTTGGAAGTATCTACTGTACTTATAAATATATTAAATTTATTTTGTGTCCTCAACCTATTTACAACGACGTAAAGAGGACTGCAGTAGGATAAGTTTGCAAACAGTAGAAGCACGTTTAGCTCAGATATTAGGCCATTGTTGTTGTTATGATAATACAAAGGTAATCAATTATGGCTATCTTTTCATTAACATTATTAATCTGTCTGTGTACGGTACTTGAGCTCATATTACTATAGTGCACATGCTATAGAGAATATACAAAATTAAACTCCTATTACTTTGCAAGGCTACGATGACGTACAAGGGTTCTGTTCTGAATACAGCTGAATTAAAGAAATCAAGGCAAAGAGGTTATTAATGAATAATTTTGAAACCGGTAATAGAAACACCGTATTGACACAGACGATTATGCTTTATTACCAAAATATGCGTATAAATAATACGACTAGTAAGATGATATATTGACAAGCTGCATAGTTGAAAGTACACTAGCGACTTGTCCCTCAAGAGTAGTAATCTATTGGCGATCGTGCATCATAATAATATACCTTAAAACTAGCTACATTAATATTCGATATGGTAGTCGTTATAGAGTCTAAGCTACGATTACGAAGATGGCGTCATTAAGTTAATAGAAACGTATTCGTAATTTATGGCTGAGGAGTTAGCCTGATGTATTGCTTGCCGGATGGGACGTTGGCAATTTCGACTCCTTTTGGGAATAACTTAGGGATATCTTCGGCTTTTACAGAAGGAATAACCATACATTTATCGCCAGCCTATTGATACAGGAGACGTAGACAAAATAAAGAGTGAGAGAATATTAATTAGAAATGGCATGGTAAAGTTGGCTGACTTGCGATTCAGAACGAATATGGGCAAATGATTTTGATACATTATAGATAGATAATAAGATACTGATTGATTGGAGTCTATATACACCTATCTGGTACCCCTGATTTCAGGGGATGATGGCATTAAATTTAGATGAGATAGAAATGTGAGAATGTCATACCTTCCAGTCAACTGGAGTTGCTACTTTCTTCTCAACAGTTAGTTTAAGGGAGTCAACGACGCGCAAAATTTCATCGAAGTTTCTTCCAGTTGTAGCGGGGTACAATAAGGACAATTTAAGTTTTGCGTTCTGATCAACGATAAATACCTAATGAAAAAAAATTGATGATGAGGCAAGCATATATCATAATTGTACAATAATTAGCGTAATCAATGCTATGGTAGTTGGTCGTACAGAAAATGGTAATTTCTGTTAAGAAAGTAGGGTAAAGAAATATTTTATTAAAGAAAAATATATCATACAGCGCGACAAGTAAGAGGTAATCCGGCACTGTCCTTCTCGTCTGGGTCGAGCATTCCAAGTTGTACTGCAAGCTCTCTTTTTTCATCTGCGATGATAGGGAAAGGAAATTGGCCACTTAAACTACTATAGGCTTCGATGTCTTTAATCCAACCGGAATGAGATGAAGCCGAATTGCAAGAAAGTCCAATCAACTTGACTCCACGCTTTTCGAATTCTGGTGCTAATTTAGCTGCCCTTCCAAGTTCGGTAGTACATACAGGAGTATAATCGTCCGGGTGAGAGAATAAGATTCCCCATCTACAGTATAGTTTAAATGATCGAAAGTTGCATTAAGTATACTATACAAACATGAAATCATAGCTCAACGGATGTACTGGTTATATTTAATGAATGAACTGACAGTATATGATAGTATAGGAGAGGAACACGAACATTAGATAGATATAAAAGTATGTGTACGCCAATTTCGTAAAAATAATATAAAATAAAATGGTCCTTCATGGTTTATCAAATTATAGGTAACTGTTGTTGTGTTACTGATTCGGTGAACATTTATTTATTAGTCAACATAGTAAGGATTTAGCTGTACTTGCATGCAATATAATTACGACATCGATATTTTCATATATGAGCTGATGGTACTCAGCTTCTGTGGAACCTATTGTAGTGACAGAAATTGAATAAGACGAGTCACGCACGATCGTGAATTACATTGAAGATGATAATGCTGCCCAAATTTCGGCTACTAGAAATGGGCTTTTGAAATTGGTTCATGAAGTGATGCCGTATAACAGTTATTTTATTATAATAGTAGCCGAATCCGTACACCCAGCTGTGCATTCTATTTTTTTTAAACACAGTATACTGTATAACTAGTAGAACCTTGGTTGGTTATACAGTACGTAATTCGATATTAGCCTATGAACCCATTGTTCTACTCATTTGCAATGTCCTGGCATATCAGAATTGATTAAAATAAAACGTAACGGGCGTAAAAGTGTATTGCAATAGTCTATTCAGTAACTTCAGGAAGTTTTTAATTACCCTCCATCTCTTTAAAGGATGACAATAGTAACATGCTGTGTTTCTATTCTTAATTGAACTATAGAAATAGCACGTGAATCAAGCAGCAGCGGAGATTGTTTGCTTTGCGGTATTTTATGCTGCGGACAATACAGTATACTGTAATATAATAGGTAGATTACTGTATAATCTGTGCTGTTTACTGCAATATAATAGAGTTGATTTCTACACAGTATTGTACAGTAAGCTAATTAATGATGTCAGCCTGGGTGGAATACAACACAAACGTTTCTCTATTTTTATAATTTACGGTTAAGAAGTAATTAATGTCCCAATTTAAAGAGAAGAAATTAATTATTCATTAATCACAACTTGCAGTCCAGCCCTCAAACACATACGTAAAATATGGATAGAAAATAGTTGATGTAGAACACAAGTGATGCACGCACGATTGAGCAGTTATCGATCTACACTGTGCTAATAAAGAAGACTGCTGGTTAACGTGCTCGAATTCGAATTGTATATTAGCTACAGTACAATCACGAAGTAGTTTTTTTTCGAGTAGTGCCTGTTATAACTCTTCATTCTTTATGATTCATGAACAAGCTGACTGCGGATTTATACAATGTTACTTTGTTCTCAGTCTACCTTACTTATTTGAAAAATGAACGAACGATCGATCTTGAACGGATAGCTGATTGTGAATTTTTACAACATACAAGAGTTTTTGACAGTATGGCACGTTATATAAGTATTGGTGAAAGAAAGATGGAAGTTACACATAGATATAATTAACTATTTAATTATTGAAGGTCGATTGAATTATTAGGAACTACTCTTTCGAGTGGTCCCTTACAATTATTAGGTGTCTAACATATACGAGTAAAGTAGTTTGGTGTGCTCTAACTATCAACTGCTAAACATACTGTACTGTACAATTTAGCCCACGCCAGTTCATACACATAGGATGTGATTTTAGTATAGTACTACAGTATGTGATATATCAGATTACAAATGTAATACTATACTAGCCGAGTTGCATCAGCTTTAAAGGCTCAAGAGAGAAAGTGGATCATATCGTTTTGTAGTCTATTGAAATACAGCTTTTCTGGCTACAACACATAAAACGTGCGATAGCAGCAATTTTGTATAAAGACAGTTCTTATCCTGGGTCTTTTGTAAAAAAAAAAAAAGAGAAAAATGCAAACCAAGTCATAGTATATGATGAGCGCTGAATAGAGAGTTTCCCAGTTTCAAATCGATTGTATTTAAAGCAGCAGATAGGGTTCAATTATTGGCATCCATCTCACATCTTATTCATTTCAATCACAAAAAAGGTAAGAGCAAGATGTTGCAGCTGCTACCTCCGATGATTCAATCGTTATCAGCTATTATCCGATCCAATCCGTCTGGAGATTAGTCTAATCCAGACAGGATTTAGCAATAGACATGATATACACTCCATTTATTTCAAAGTAAATAGTAGCAGATGTGTGTGGAATGCATCAAATGGAAAGAAAATCATCCACGTTCATCATCGCATCGATTGGATATCAAATGATGGTAATCTATGATAAGTTCTGGTCTGGGTTTGTCAAAGTTTGAAAGAAGAAGAGTAGACCTACTGTACTGTGCATTTGCAAAGCTGTAGCCAACTTGTGTATCTCTTATACATACTATACACGATTGATACTTGGAAGCGATGAAACTTACTTTCCATTTAGCCAGGAATGGAATTCAATATTGCCTTGGGTTGTATTCGCTTTAAAATTAGGTAATTGATCGCCGAGATTGACCATTTTCGTTCTTTACCAATCTAATACGAATGAAAATAGTAACCACAATTACAAGAAGTGATTAATGCTATGGCAATATCAACCCAAGTTAGCAAACCTACCAAGATGCAGCTCCAAATTAGCACGTCAGCAAAGCTTGCAATAATGTGCTTACTCATCGTTGCTCCTCTACTATTTATACCTTTTATAGAAGGCTCTGCAAGTACTGTACTGTACAGTACTGACGTAGTAACGCCTACCGATTCAAGTGTCACGTGTACACTCACTGTACAGTACAGTACGGTACTGTACCGTAGATGAAGTATGAGACAGTCAAAATGACTGTACAGTACATACATTGGTCCCTAGGGTACACAGTATTGTACTGGAGTACTGTACTGGCATTGGAGTAGTAAAGCCTGAAAAATGGATCATAATCATGACGACAGCATTATACAGGTACAAGTAAGGCATTGAACGTGTAGTAATGGATTAGTCCCGTTGACGTTGCTGTAGTTGCTACAATGTAGTACTGCTTCTCAATAGAAGATATTACGACAACGAAAGAAATGAATTTGCTTGCCTTGTCTGCCTTATTGTTGTCGTGGTGATGCAGCAGAAAAGCACATGGATACAGCCCACTGGACTCTAACACTGGTGCCACTAGGTGCCACTATCACTATTATGTTATTGAGGCGGCGGGGTCACGTCGCTTCAATTGGATCAACTTTACTGTACCGTATACAGTATACAGTACTGTACACTGTACTGCATGTACTGTACGGACCAGTGTCCAGTATTAGGGTACGCCCATCATAGCTTTATGGATTGCATTCAACAAATAGACATTGTGCCAAAGACTACTACAAGAACTATTACAAAGGGAAGATAACTTGAAGAGCCTTGATTTGCTTCAGTATCGCAGCCTACATACGTTATGATCTCCATGTAAAATAGAAATAAATAAACATCATTACAATACTATGCAAATCATCCGATAATACTGTATAAAGTAAAAAGTGCAAGTTTAGTACGCTTGAGTAAGAAGGGATCGACAGTCAATAATAATAATAATAGTCATAACTTTCCTTATTAATCATTAATTAATAATACAGTACAGCATTGAATGATTGTACTTACTGTACAGTACTGTAATTTTAGGCGAAAAATTAAGATCGTTTTAACCATAAAGCTCTTAGGAAGACTACTAGAGAATCAGAAGTTCATTTAGAAACGACTGAGAATATAACAAAAAAATGAGTGAGAAACTGCCTCTGTCATTTCGTCAACACTTCAAGGCATTTACAATTTCACCGGAACAGTCTTACTGTACGTACTGCACAATCAGTGTCCCACGTCTCATGTACTGTACAATGTTTTTAGTGTACTGTAGTATACAGTACAGTACTGTACAGGCGTATTTATTATTTATTTTATATTAGTAAGTGTTCGACCGAAAGGATTTAATCGTGGAGCTTACCATACTGCTATCGTTCAAAGTTAGTACAATTGTACTGTACACTGTACAGTACTATAAATCAATAATAATATTACTGATAGGGATATCACACGATGACCCTTGACCAATGAATGACTGTACTGTATGTCACGTTGCATTTTTACTGTGCTCTGGTATGTACTGTACTGTACAGTACAATACCATTACCAATGGCCATAGCCAAGGCGAAGATGCTTGGTACTGTAATAATGTACCAGTGTTTTGCAACGTCCTTCTTATCGTTACAATACTGTACAGTACAGTAGTAAGATTGAGATCCGCCACTATTTCTGTGACCGCGACCGTTCTCGAAATACTCGGAAGGCCGGACTCAAGCACAGTACAAGGTACTGCAGGTCGCAGTATAAAGCACTGTATACTACAGTACAGCATACTGTAAAGAGCAGAAAGCATTAGTACAGTACTAGTTAGACCTGAGAAAGGTTCGGTTCGAACCGTTATGATCTATACAGTACTAGTACTGTACTAGTGTACTGTACTGTACTGTACAGTACTGTACAGTGTACAGTACTAGTCAGATTAAGATCCGCCACGATTTCTGAGACAGCGACCGTTCCCAAGTCTTCGGACGGCCCGACTGAAGTACAGTACAGAAAGTGTTCCACTCTTGTCATCATTTTGAATGATGGTCACACGACTGGTCGTACAGTACAGTCCAGTGTACAGCACACTGATGACTGTCGCAAAAAGGATGCTGCACTCAGTCATTAACGTGTTGTATTCTACGTATTGACACTTCCAGTAAAATCAGCTGAACTGCAGATCATCAGATCAGATGATTCCAAGCAAAGACTTCCTACTGTAGATCTATATCACCATTTAAAATAACTTTAGCTACATAGTAAAATAACTTACGCAACAAGCAAGATGTCGTTCTTATCAATGCCTGATGACGATGACAAACTTGATTTCAGCATGGGAACTCCAAAGTACGAATAGAAACTGATTAGTATACCTATTATTACCTTCTCAAACTAGGCGATAGATTAGACGACTTATGTACGCGTACATCCTTTTTATGCCATGGATTCATTTCAATTTAGGGGATCATCCAAACTTTCATCTCTATTCGATGCTGATCGTGCGTCTAATCGTCTTGGAAATGAATCGTTAACCTACACTCCTCCTAAACAGCCAAAGAAAAATCAGCAAGGTAATACGCTAGATCAAGATAGATCAATGTATTGCTCTCCTCAATGTCGAGATCATCACTAGTGCATTAATGGAAACGTAATACAGTAATCAACTAATTTTATAATTTTCTACTAGCTGCTGATGGAGAGTCACAACCATTAACTAACCTCAAGGCTGCTGCAGTTCATGCTTACCGCATGTAAGTTATACAATCAATCAATCACTTTATCCAATTTAGATTTTACAGATTCTTCATATCCAATCGGCTCGACTCCTTGATATGCTGTAGCAAGTTAATCTATAGCAAGAGTAAAACCACTCTACGGTGTACAGTACACTCTATGCTACAGGCATCAATCACAATGGTTATTGATTAATTATCTTCCCTGGATGCTTTATTAGAATCATCCTACGTACTGTATAATTCCTGATACAGTATATCTATCAGGGGCAATGATACTATTCGAAATTCTGAATCGACATGGATCGACAAAATAATTTGTTATGGTATTCTGTATGCTGTATCTAATTCTACAGTCCTATTCTCTGCATGTGCTCTATCTTTAATACAACTATAAATACCGCCGATTTCCACCTCAGAAATCGTTAGTTTCCTGGTTAGTCTTCACACGTTACTAACGACAGCTTGCACGCTGATCTACCGTAACTACCTCACTGTACTTACTTTACTACTTAAAATAACGTATTGCTTTTATACAACCATTGGTGCACTATTTGTAAATGGCAACTAAATCTCAATCCTCCGAGATATCGAACCCTCCATCACATTAGAACACATAACAAACTTTTCTAGTGATGACATAATACCTCGTATAGCGTTGCAAACAGGAAGGGAAATACGATACACTAAGTATCTCATACCATTTCAAGTATACCGATAAAATAACTTTTTGAAACTATCATACACGTATCCGCTGCATTAAACTAACCTCCACCTGCCTGCATACGTATATTCAATTTGATTATGTTACTCAGATTTTACAGCATTGGACACTTGTGCTGTAGGAATGTATAAACAGTATTTGATACGATAGATGACGCTGTTTCCGGTATCTGATCATAATGGAAATACTTTCTAACTTATCTCATTTTTACAAATGAAAAACTCTATGACTACCATAGTTATTATCAATGGAATTAAGCTCATATTGTAGTTCGTATGCTATCTCTTTAAATCATTTAGTGTAAATGGACAATACCAGAACGTGGGAAAATTGGGTATCGCCTTGCTGGGGAATTATTCTGCTGAAAATGTATGAAACATTTGACTCGTATACTGCGTTTAGCTGCTAATAATTTTCTCTTATTTATAAAAGTCACATTAGTACTCACACAAAAAGTTACTATTCAGGTTTTAATCTTATGTAATACCGTATTGAAAGATCGATTGCAGCTTACAGATTATTTACAGTACCGCATCGCATCAGCTATGTATTTATTACCTACTCTAAGCATAGTGACTTTACGTATAATAAACTGAAATTGTTATCAAAACTATATTTTACTCGTATGTAGAACATGAATGATTTTTTCTCTTTTAAGAGCTATAGTTGTAGCTGTTGTGATGCTGCACATTACGTCGCGTTGTACTGTGTTTTCTGACTATCAATTTCTTATAATTATTAGCATTATCGATCAAAATTACATAAGAACTTTAGGCACTTGGATCAGTTAAAAATGAATTAAAAAAGTTGATTATTAAAGATAGAGGGATATTGTATTGTTGGAATTAGTTGCATGTACTATAGTTACTATAGTAGATAATACAGTAATGGACAGCTTTATACTACAAGTTAGTGCAGTGCGTACATATATCCGAGATCTGCTATACAGTATGCTTGTAGCAATAACGATAACTACTGTGTATCTCATTTTATTGTACTGTTAAATCATAGTTCTATCAACTTTTTCGATAGTATCAGCTATTGTTATATGCCGGTAAGCAAAAACCAGTATCCATGGCCAAAATAACATCATCCTTTACCTTTACGGTATGATTAAAATCATAAGTTACTATTTAATCACTAATTGGTTGACATGACATTATTGTAATAACTTATTTTATTATTTTACTCTATTTGTAATAGTTGCAACCGAACAATTACGCATGTTTTTATGATGATAACCGATTAATGTGGTCTGTATGTTTTGATTCTGAAAAGATTGTTCTTGAATTTAGTCAACAGGTAAGTTTTTTTATTGTTGGCTATGCTTTTGTGCAATGCATAACAACTTATTTAAGAAATTAGTATACAAAAAAACTTTTAATAAGATGCCCATGTTATGTTTAGATTGCATTGGCTAAATCAAATTCAAGTGGACATTCTGAACTAATAATGCAAGATCTAATTATGGGAGAAGGGCAGGTTTGATGATAAAATTTTTGATTATTTTAGTAATTTTAGCTTAATTATAAAATAAAATTTTGATTGATTTCTCGATTGTAAAGAGTGTTAAAACGGATGATATGGTCGAAATGCAGTATACCGGTTGGTTACTGAAGAATGGATCAATTGGACAGGTAGTTTAGTAGTATCTTAGCGAGTAATTCTGCATCATATATTTCTTTTTAACAAAATGGCTCTATTTTTAAATGCCAACATTAGGAATTTGACAGTAGCAGTAAAAATGATAAACCCTTCCGTTTTCGTATTGGTGCTGGTAAAACTATCAAGGTTAGTTTATCATAATTGGCTATTAGCACTTCCACGTTATTATTGATATTAGTTTTACGATAGGGATGGGATGAAGGTGTCGTTGGTATGGCAAAGGGTGGAAAGAGATTTCTTGTTATACCTCCAGAGTTAGCCTATGGATCTAAGGTTAACTAAACGATAGAGTACTTTTAGTAGTATCTTTACTGCCAGGATATCTCACGTTAAACATGTGTATCTACTCTAAATTACGTACTTCATTAGGGTATAGGGGATCGTATTCCACCAAATTCAACTTTAATTTTTGAAGTAGAACTAAAAAAAGTATGTATATTGTTTGCTTACAAAAATAATTTACTCTATAAAGATTAATAAAATAGCACTATTACATTTTAGAAGAATTATGATAGCCTCATTGTTTTTACGTTTGAGAATTTACGGAGATTATGTAATTGGTAGTTTTTATATTTATAATTACAAAGGTAAAATATAAGGAAGATGTTAATACGGTAAAAAATAACTCGGAGAAAAATGATAAAGCTCCAAAGCCAGCTGTTAGCCGGAAACCTACATTAACAACAGAACCTGTAAATACGCCATCTCCAGATACGGACCAAGCATCACAATTGAGGCACTGTGGCATAAAACTATTGCTAGTTTGCTATATTTATAATACAATATAATAGCTACTGAGAAAGAAAGCTTGGATAATTAATGCAATCAAATAAATGTTATATTTTTATTTGCTTCCTAAAGTGTGAACGATGCTGGAATTAAAGCTAGAACTGCGTCATTAACGGAGCAATATAGTACAGTAAGTAAAGTGATGATGCAAATTGCCTTTATACAACCATTGTGTATACAGTATGTCCAAGAATCAGTTATATAATGTTATAGTGATAACAAGGCATGTGTTTATGGCAGCATTATTACTGGAACTGTAATAAATATTGTTAATATTCCTTAATTTATAATACAACTTTTAGATGACAGAGGCTGACCAGAAAAGATCAAAACTTATTTCTCGCATGTCGAAAATGGGTGTTAATGCATTACCGTTTGTTATTCCTTCTCCCGCATCGACCGAAAGCAATCTTGTAAGGATTGGCATTTTTCCTTTATATGAAGTGATTTTAATGAAACTTAACATACGCTGTATATTGGACGAATATAAGATAACTTTGTATTCCCTTTCGGAACTTTAGGAAGGAGTTGAGGAACGAGCTCGTTCAAGCAGTAGAAGATCCGCTGAAGAGCAATCTATAAATTCATCCGATAGCTTAGTAGAAATGCAGAGTGAATTAGAACAGCAGCAAAGGAAATTAGCCCAACAACAGATAGAACAAGAACAACAAGAACTGGAACTTCTAAAGCAGAAACAAATTATTCAAGAAAAACAAAAACTTTTGGAGCAGCAAAGACAACTAGAGCAACAGAAACAACAGCACGTAGCTTTGTATCAATCGTCACAGATGGTAGGGACGTTATCAACACCTCAGAATGTACCTGCATCTGTTGGTGTAGTAAATCAGTCAAATACTTATCCTAGTCAAGCTCAGTCTACAACTTTGTACCCAACTGGTGTTTACCAACAGCCTGGACCACAAACAGTTAATACTGGGGATAGTGGCATAATGTCTGCTTTACTTAACGAAAGTAGGCATCAAAATTCTGAAATGAGGAGATCCATTGAAAAAGTTTTAGATAAAGTTGATGGAGTATCTAGTAAGGTAACACAGTTCGTTATCGTAGTTTAAAATTTTTGATGTAGTACTGATATTTTGGAGTTGTCAGTCTATCTTTGTTTTAATTGTTTTTTATTGTAATTAGCTTGACAATTATCAATCGAATAATTTGGCAATTGTTCAAAGTGGTGGCCAAGGTGTGATGGAAGCTGATGTGTTATTTAGAAGTCTTCAGAAACATTTTCAGGTAAGAGTTGATTTATGTCGAGCCTGTATAGTAAACTGTTAGACTGTTTCTTTAATCTAAAATATAACAAAAATACCCTTTAATTATTATAAAGGATAATGAGAAGATGAAAAAAGAATTGTTGGAAAAGAATAGCAAGATTGAATCGCTAAATGACAAAATTTCAGAACTACTACAACAAAATCAAAAGTAAGACGAATAGAGAACTTTCTTGGCAACGAACAATAACTATTTAAAGAAACTATTAATATATATGTTGTAAAGATTTATACTTCCATTACCTTATTATTACCATATAGATACGTAGAACAAAGTCATGTTATATTAGAACAAAGAAACGACTCTTTGAAGAATACTGCAGCTCAATCTCAGTCTAGGGTAATCGCTTTAGAACAAGAAAGACTAGAATTAACGAATTCGTTAGCTAAAGCAACTGATAGTCTGGGATCTATTCAGAAAGAGGTTATTGGCTATAAACAAAGAGAATCTGATCTTCAATCATTGGTTGCTAAAGCGGAAGCGAATGCTAAGACTTATAAAGATCGATGGGATGATTACGATAAACAAAATACTGATTTGAAGGAAAACCTTGAGCAAGCTATAAGGGATACAAAAGATGCCAAGAATAAGAATAAGAACCTAGAGTCAAAATTATCATCTGTTCGAGATGACCTTTCAGATTTGCAACAGGAGAAGGAAACACTTGAGAAGGCACTGGAGGATAGAAAGAAGAAAAATGCAGCTGACAAAAAAAGATTACAGGCAGAACTTGACGAGATGAGATCTACTCACGATGAAGAATTAAATGAGCTTCATCAGAAATATCTAAAACAAAAATCTAGCACAAACCTTACGCAAGAGATTGCAAGGGTGGAAGAAGATTTAGAAGCCAGGTGGAATAAAAAATCTTCGGATATGGTTGCAAGTTGGAAAGATAAATATAACAAATTAATGGAAGAGAAAACCGATTTGGAACGTAAACTTAATGCTAATTCATTAGCGTTATCTAAAATGGAAGACTCTACAAACGCTGGAACTGCAGAACAAAAACAAACGCTAGAGCGAATTGCAGAATTAACCATTATTAGTGAGAATTATGATAAACTAAAAGTAGAAAAAGCTGAATGTGACAACGAATTAATATCTTTACGTGAGAAGGCTTCTAAGTTAACAAATTTACAAGACAAAGTAAGTAACGGTTCAAGCATTAAGGTCAATTAATTAAAGTATTATACCATTGACATTATTAAGTAATCATCAATTTCGGTCTAAAATAGTACGATGAAGTGTGCAATAAGCATTATGACTTCCGGGAAGAAGTAAAGGCGAAACTCTCTAGAATAGCAGAGGTGAAACTTCAGTGTGTAGTTATTTTAGAATCAACTGTATTATGATACATACTAATTAGTTTTTTACAACTTTATATTATAGGAGCAAGAAGTTATTAAAAATGAAAGTTATGAAGAGGGCTTCAAGGCTGGAAAGATGGCTAGTGACGATGAAAGATCGAATGAAGTTGTAGCTGAAAGTAAATCCGGCAGTACTGACACAAACAATAAGGTAGAATTAATTTATATGGAGATAATTTTTGTTAGTACTATTTACTGGTTTGGTAATATTAATTGTAAGCGTATTTTATTCGCCTGTTGTGTTGTTAATCAGTAAGATAGTTTAATTAAAAGGCATAGATATCGGAGAGTTGGAGCGTAGTAAACATGTTTTAAGTATATATTGAAATTTTATGTCACTTATGAAGATTGTAATTGGTATTGATAAATAGATTAAGGCCATCATGAACAAGGTATTTCATTCATTAAGTCAACACTTTAGCGAAGACCAGTCTTATTCCAGGAATGCAATTATAGAAATTATTCTACGTACTATAAAGGTAACACAAATGAAAGATACCTATCCTGTAATTTATGTACTACTGTATCAACTACTAAAAGGAAATAGTATAACATGATTAAATATTTTAAAATTTTAAAACATTCCTGTTAAACAGTTATTGTGAATATTCTATTCTATCAGCAAACAACTGTCCAACTACTGGCAGGAAATCTAGATAATGGTAGTGAAGATGAAGATGACGAAGACGATGATGAAGATAATGATGATGATGATGAAGATGATGAGGATGATGAAGACGATGAGAATAAGGATGGTATTAATAGTAATAATTCAGATGAGGGA